ATTGACCTCTCTTCTTGTGGATTTCCCTCCCATATATCTGTATATTTTCCCATTTTCCAGTTCTGTGAGATGTAGTATCAATATCTAGTTCAGGCTTGTCTCAAACATGATATCCTCCTGCCTCAGGTTTTAGAATGTTCGGGTTACAGATTTGTATCATTGATCTAAGCATGCTCTGCCTTTTTTCTTTCAAAGACACATGTAATTACATATAGGGCTCACCTAGATGATCCACAATATGTCCATATGGCAAGATTATTAATTACATTTGCAAAATATTTATCTTACAAGGTAACACAGGTTCTGTAATTGGACTAGGTTTGAGATCCCACCATTCAGTTCATAATTGAAAGATGATGAATTTTAATCTTGAAAAGATGAACATTTTTATAATTGTTTTTTCCCAAGCCCTTATTGTTCCTGAGGAGGTACATTTTGAAAGTGCTATAAAATGAATCTCAGTAAGGAACATATTAATAGCTTGTTTTCCTGGTCTTCTTGAAATCTTTACTTATTTATCTGTTTATTTATTTTACTGAAACTCTCTTTGTAGCACTAAGTTTATGTATATTTCTTGAGAATCATATGTTCATTATTGTGTTGTACCACTTTCCTGAATATAAATAGTGAATAAATAATTTTTTAATATTATAAAGCTCTTTTATTAGGTTTTCTATCACAAGATAAAAATTTTATCTCAATTTAGTTTTATGTATTACATCTCTGTAAGTTTATTTTTACTCTTTTCAAGCTAAGCGTGACATGTGGGTAGTGTGAAATAGTTCACAATTTTTTTTATTTTTTATTTTTTTATCTTCATAAATTCATTTTATTTTTTAATGTGACATATGAAAAACAACTAGAGATTCCACATTCAAAAATGGCTGTATGTATAAATATTTATCTTAATATATGATAATGAGATTCTTGAACGTTAGGTCACAGATTTTCTTCCAGTAGGCAGTATAGTCTTTGCACTCTGCAGACTTGATTCATCCCTAAACTGATGATACTTACAAGTAGTAAAATCTGAGGCTAGAGAAATGCCTCAGCCATTAAAAGTGCCGATGTAATTGCAAAGGACCAAACTTGGTTCCTGGATGCCATACTTGAGAGATGCTAAAACACCAGATCTAGGGGATACAATGACCCTGCCGAGCTTTATAAAGTACCCATGTACTACAGTACATATAAAATCACAAAGTCATAAAGGCACACACATGCACAAAAATTAATAATAAAAATGAGGGGTTTTTATATAAGAAAAAGAAATTCTGGTGATTTATTAATAGTTCACAAAATTAAGAGGTAAATTCCTTAATGTTACTTCCTCTGCTTCTTTCTGTAGTTGTTGAATTCTTTTGGCAATGTTATTCTGCCCCCCCAGCTCTTAAAAAGTATGTTTATTTATACTAATTTACAATCAGAAACACCCTAGATGTAGATTTCCTTAATTAGGGTTTATGTCATAGTTGAAGTTCTAATTTTGACTTTGTTATGCTTTGTTTTAGTTCCATTCAGTTAGAATAATAATTCCTGTAATTTTACTGTCTTTTAGTAAACAAACAGGAATAGATTCAGATAATAGTTTATGAATATAAATTTAACTAAAATTCAATGGGAGATTATTCTGTTTGTAATTTACCATATTTGAAAGCAAGAACATATGTTATTAAAATAGTATATTAAGATTATCTCAATAAAATCATTGTTATTAATTATTAGTAGTAATATTTTTCCTTGTTACATTTGAGATCTTTTGTGGTTTTTACCTTTTCCATTGAGAATTTTCATAGATGCTTGGTTTTTTCCTTTTTTTTCTGGATAAGTTTTCTCTGTGTAGCCTTGGCTGTCTTGGAACTCACTTTGTAGACCAGGGTGGCCTTAAAGATTGAACTGCCTCCACCTCCTAGGTTCTGAGATTAAAGCTGTGTGCCACCACTGCTGGGCTTTTCTAGAACGTTTTTTGTCCGTTTTTATTTTATTTTTCTGTTTTTATATTGTGAGCATGTGTGTGTATGTACATTTTCATGTGATTGCAGGCACACGTGTCACAGTGTATGTGTATGTCTGTCACAGGATAACCTCAGGTGTTGAATCACACTTTTCCCCGTACTTGAGACAAGATTACTTATAGTTCCTGTGGCTTACTCCAGGGTATCTGGCCTGCAAGTGCCTGGGGCTCTCTTGTTTCTGTCTCCACCTCACCTAAGATTTCTAGAACTGAAGATATACACTAGACCAGCCAGCCTTATGGGCTCAAAGAGGTGGAAGGTGGCTGGAGAGATGGCTCAGAGGTTAAGAGCCTTGCCCGCTCTTCCAAAGGTCCTGAGTTCAATTCCCAGCAACCACATGGTGGCTCACAACCATCTGTAATGGGATCTGGTGCCCTCTTCTGACCATCAGGCATCCACACAGACAGAATATTGTATACATAATAAATAAATAAATATATTTTTAAAAAAAAATGAGATGAAAGAAGCAGTCACAGAGCCTGCATGGATCTACACTAGGTCCTCTCCATAGATGCTGTAGTTGTTTAGCTTGGGGTGCTTGTGAGACTCCTAACAGTGGGAGTTGTTACAATGAGGAGGGCACACTTGTGCCTCTGAGCTGCTTGGAAGTCTGTTGGTTTGTCCCAGCTGCCCAGCTAGCTTAGCCCCAAAATAACCACACAGAAATTGTATTAATTAAATCACTGCTTGGTTCATTATCTCAGCATCCTATTGGCTAATTCTCACATATGATTTAATCCATTTCTATTAATCTGTATATCATCATGTGGCAGTGGCTTACTGGGAAAGATTCTAATAGGTGTCTGTCTCAGGCGGAGGATCCATGGCTTCTCTCTGACACTGCTTTCTTCCTCCCAGAATTCAGTTCTGTCTTCTCCACCTACCTAAGATCCACTCTATCAACTAGGCCACAGCAGTTTCTTTATTCATTAACCAATAGAAGCAAAACACAGATGGGACTCCCACATCAGGGAGTGGGGCTGTCTCTAACTCCTGTTCTTACTCTGTGGACCCCTTTCCTCCTATTGTGTTTTCTTTTCCAGCTTTAATAGGAGGATTTGTGCCTAGTTTTATTGCATCTTGTCATGCCATGTAATGCTATACTGTGATTAAATATGTGCACACCCTCACTAGCTGATGGCTATTCTTGATCTCTCTTAATATTCTGGTTAAGTGACATTTTCTGTTTCTATGATTTTGTAGCAGTAATGTTATTTCTATAACTTCTAATTTTATTTATTCATTTGAGACATCATGTTTGAGATTAATAATCATCAGATAAATTTAATTATATCTCTTCTTCAAAAAGAAAAATATCCCATCTTTAGCAGTAGTAACAAAAATCTGGTTCCACTCCCATTGATTTTAGGTAACATCAATAAAAGGCTAGGCTAGAGTCCTCTGGCTATCTTTGATTCTTACTTCTTACATAGTCCATATAGCCCATCCCTTATTCTTCTCTATTATGTGACAGTGTTAAATATATTTTAAATTCTATCCATTTTCTTTTTTTCTAGTTTTGTTATCTTGTTTCAAAATATCTATACTTCTCTCTGGGACCATTGAATTATTTATTAGTAATTCACACATGAATCTGTCTAGAAGAGTGTACTAAGCATAATACTATTATTAAAATTTAAAATTAATTGTAAGGAGTAACTTTAACTTCTAATATTCTGAAAGTAGAAGAATAAGAAAAGATGTGTGTGCTAGCACACACCTTTAATTTAAGCAATAGGGAGGCAGGGACAAGAGGATTTCTGTGAGTTTGAGGCCAGTCTGGTCTACAAAATAAATTCCAGAACTGTTTCACAGAGAATCCCTGCCTTGAACAAAAGAGAAAAGAATAAGAGGGAAACCATAAATATAGAAAAATGATGACTTCATATTCTCTCTTCACGTCACACTTGGGTATTCTGATAGTGTTCAGATTTTGTTTTCTAGTAATTCCATAATTTCATTAAGTTATCAATAATATTCGTGAAATTAACTTAAATAAATTTTTGTATTATAGAGTTAGAGATTTATAGTTTATGTTTCCTTTGCTAATTACAAAATTTTATATTAGATGAGAATGTGAATCAGCTCTTTACCTCTCCCTCCATTTTCTGTATTCATTTGTATTAACACATACATATTGATGTTCTAAAGAGGGAATTCACTCTCTTGATGAATAAATAGCTTTCTTTTTTAGCAGTGAGGATGTTGAACACTATTAATAGGAGATTGTTTTCCTACTGAGAACAGAACAGATGGTGGGCCAGGCTAGACTGTAGATGTTCTCCCTGATACAGATAATCCTTTTCTGAAGATTATTATCTTTTAAGTCAATTAAGTATAATAAACTAGTATAAACAATGATAGTTCCATAAGGTAATTAATTTGATAATTATTTAGGTAGTTGAGAACCACTTGTATTTTACGGTTTTTTGTTCATTTGTTTTGTTTGTTTGGCAGTCATGGCTAGAGAGTGGATAGCTACTATCTTAATGCTCAACATAATCTCCATAAACAGATTCTTATCCAAAAGGGTCTATACTATTGATATGGAGAAAGAAACTCTTTCTGGTTATTATTTTTTTTAGTCCATCATGTGATGTAGTATTTTTTTTCAAAACTTTCTTTTTTTTTCTTTTTGTATGTTGTGTGTATATCGTTATGTACCCATGTTATGTATCCATGGCCTTTTAAATACTAGCCAAGTAAAATGCCACTAAATTATGCCTCCCACTATTGATATATTTAAAGATAAATAGCATATTTGCATTTTCAATACATTTAGTAGCTTATTTTGTTAAAATGATTTTAAAATAAATTAATTAGTAAACATTTTATACCACTATATTAAAATAGTTTTTCAAGATGCTGGTAAATAATATTTTACAATATATGCAGTAGTTACTTAGATTCTGAGTGAAAGTCGTTCTGTTAATTACTGTATAAACAGGTGTATACTTGCTACTCAAAATTGTTTTTATTTTTCAGATCTTTCCAGAAATCGCTTTACAGAAATTCCTTCAGATGTATGGTTATTTGCACCTCTTGAAACTTTAAACCTATATCATAATTGTATCAAAACAATTCCTGAAGCCATTAAGAATTTGCAGATGTTAACATACCTTAACATTAGGTAAGCAAACAATTTTTAAAAAATACAATTTTTCAGGGTCTAGGAAGATGGCTCAGCCGTTACTAGAACAGGCAATTGGTTTTGGAGGACCAGGGTTTGATGCCCAGCACCCTCTTGTTGGCTCATAACCACCTTTAGCAACAGTTTCCCAGGATCCAAAGACCTTTTCTAACCTCCTCAAGCACTAGGAATACACATAATACATACATACATGCAGTAAAACACTCAATACCAATTAGTAATAATTAATAACATTAGTAATAATAATATAAATCTTTATTAAAACTTTTTTGCATTTTCTTAAATCTTTAATCACTTTTAATAATAAAAGATTGTATTTTGTTTATGTTCTCATTGTTCTATAAGCTTTTGGTCTTGTTATTTAAGGCAATGTTTCTCAAAGTTTCATACACAGGAATTATCTGGGGATCTTGTTAGGTCTGCTGAGGGACCTGCATTTTCTAAAAGGTCCCCTGGTAATTTACCTGCATGTGTGTTGATCATTAGATCTCACTTTGAGAGGAAGGATATAGAACATAAATATTTTTCTTATTTGTTGCCCAGTTTTCTGAATTCATTTATATGTCAGTCTAGTTACACTAGTCAAACATTATAATGAAACATCAAGTAAAGTTTTATCATGTGATGTGTTGCCAGTTCAAAAATGGGCAAATTGGAATGGAAGGTTCAAATGTTTGGAGGTGACAGAGCATCTTTTAACTTAACGAAGTTTTTTCTTTCTTTCAATGATGGGGATCAATCCAGGGTGTTGTCCATGCTAGGCAAGCATTTTATCACTGGATGGCATCCCTAGCCATTTTATGCTTAATATGGCTTTACTATGTACTAGGCAATATTACAAGTGTTTGACCCATATTACTTCTTTTAATATTCCAACATCATTTTGACATAGATCATATTATTCTTTTATTCCATATGAAAAAACTGGATTAATCTGTTTCCAGAAAAAAAAACCATGTATTCATACAGTTGTTCTTTGATGGCTGTGAGAGAATGACATTCCCCAAAATACTAATGTTTGTCAATATTCAATTCCCTTACATAAAAAAGCATAGTGTATGGAGGATTGTGACTGGGACATAGGAAATTAGACATTTCAGAAGTTCTTTGAGGTTTACTAATTGAAGAATAGTGTCCTTCTCTTTTGTTACACACACACACACACAGATGCACAGACACACACAAGGACGGACACACACACACAGACACACACACACACACACACACACACACACACACACATAGTACTTTAAACCCAGCCTAGTATTTATGGAAATTCTCTGCAAAGATAAGATGGGATGGAAGATCTTATGTTATTCTTGCTTGAGTAACATAGATCTTTTGTTCCTGTATACATTACATAAAACGCTAGGTACATGTCTCTAAATGCTAAATTGAAAAAATAGGAAAACAATGATATCTTATTCCTTGTCAGTGCTTACTAGTATGTAATTGGAATGTTTTCTTCTCTATATTTTTGATTTTGAGATATTTTGGGTCAATCCATCTAAATTTGACATTTGAGTATAGAATGTGAAGTGTAAGGATACCAAATCTAGATTAACCAGATTTCAATACAGGCTTTCCTGCTTACCAACTTTGTAACATTAGAACATTTTACTTACTGTCATTGTGATTTATTTTCCTTTTTAAAATGGGGTTCACGATGAGTGTTTACCTAAAGTAGGTTGCTGTGATGAACAGTTGATTTTATTCTGAACTTTTACTGGCAGATTGTAATTAATCAATAAAATGTTATTTGTTACTGTATTTAAATGGACTCTAAGGAATATTTCATTAATGTTAGACTGAAATAGAAGTGCTCGACCCTGTTGTTCTGATGCAAACTATCTAAAAACTCCTACTATTGTTAAGGATTTATTTTATCTTTAATTGTATGTATGAGTGGGTCACACATGTGTATGTGAGTGTGCATATGAGTGCAGAACTTGTGGAGGCCAGAAGATGGTGTCAGATTCCCTGGAGCTGGAGTTACAGGAGATGGTGAACTGCCCCCATGCAGGTGCTGGGAACAAAATTTGGGTGGGTTTCAACAGCAGTCCATGTCCATAACTGCTGAGCTATCTCTCCATGCTTCAAGTTACTGATATTTTAAAAGATAGATTTTTTACATCATTTTAAGCACAATGTCCGCAAATTTCAGCCAAGGTCCTCTCCATGGTTAGACTTATAAAGGTATCAGGTGTGCTAAAATATGCCCCAGAAAATTCTGGAATTCTCTAGCTCAGAAAAAACCTGAGTTATTATTGCATGGGCTACTTATGAGCATTACCATATGTAATAGCAGAATTTTTGCTATCAGATTTGTGTGTGCGTGTCTGTTACAATAGACAAGCCACTTAGGGAGCTTTAGCCTTCATTTTCATATTTGTATATTGAAGCTAATACTACCTATCTTAGGTTAATGTGAATATTAGCCAGTGTATGAACGTAAGTTACATGTTCTTGTTTGAAGTGAAATACTCAATAAATGGTACTTTTTAGTGAATGCTTATTATTTACTGTTGATGTGCTATGTACTTTTTTAGCCTAACATAAAGATTCAGACATTTTTCATAATGAGATTTTCTTAATTTCTTTCAGTCGAAATCTTTTATCAACATTGCCAAAATACTTATTTGACGTTCCACTTAAAGTTTTGGTTGTCAGCAATAATAAGCTGGTATCCATCCCAGAAGAAATTGGAAAGTTAAAAGATTTGATGGAGCTGGTGAGTATAATAATAATTATAAGTTTATATGCCACATTTAATATATACATTTTATTTTAGAGTTATAGTCATTCCTTTGTAGAATTTCACTGTATTTTTTTTAAAAGAGAATAACTTGGTATATGTCTAAATTCAGTTGGATAACAATTTCAGCTACATTTATTTATGGCTGAATTTAGCTCCTAGCACACACAGGAAAAGTTCGGTAATTCCTCAGACAAGGATGCTTTAGGAGACTTGGTTACAAGCTTTCAGAATATGTATCAAGTGAAGAGCTATTTATCCCTTGACTTTGAAGCCAGAGAAGTTCTTAAGAAAATGATGTTTTTTCCTAATGTTTTATGGAGCTGATGCGGAGAGTTAGAACAGAATGGTAAAAGTGGAGAACGCAGCTTTGTGTGCTGGTGGTTCATGCCATTATTCTCAGCTACTCTGGGGGAAGGTAAGACAATCATTTGAACTTAGTAGTGGTTACATTATTGAGACCTCATTTCATCAAAACAAACAAACAAATGAACAAATAATCAGTTTTTAAAAGGCAAAATGTAGGAGGATCACGAACAGAAGTAGTATTTTTTTAAAGATATTCAAAACACCTATTTTCATTTTTTTTATTGAGAAAAGGAGAAAAAAAAAACAAGTTTCCACCTCCTCCCAGCCTCCCATTTCCCTCCCCCTCCTCCCACCCTTCTCCCCCTCCCCCACTCCTTCCCCCTCCCTCTCCAGTCCAAAGAGAAGTCAGGGTTTTCTGCCCTGTGGTAAGTCCTAGGTCCTCCCCCCTCCATCCATATCTAGGAAGGTGAACATCCAAACTGGTTATGCTCCCACAAAGCCAGCACATTAAGCAGGATCAAAACCCCGTGCCATTGTCTTTTGCGCCTCATCAGCCCTCATTGTTCGCCATGTTCAGAGAGTCCAGTTTTGTCCCATGCTTTTTCAGTCATAGTCCAGCTGGCCTTGGTGAGCTCCCAATAGATCAGCTCCACTGTCTCAGTGGGTGGGTGCACCCCTCGTGGTCCCGACTTCTTTGCTCATGTTCTCCCTCCTTCTGCTCCTCATTGGGACCTCGGGAACTCAGTCCAGTGCTCCAGTGTGGGTCTCTGTCTCTATCTCCATCCATCAGCAGATGAAGGTTCTATGATGATATGCAAGATATTCGTCATTATTGCTCTAGGATAGGGTCATTTCAGGTTCCCTATCCTCAGCTGCCCAAGGAACTAACTGGGGACTTCGCCTTGGGCACCTGGGAGCCCCTCTAGGGTCAGGTCTCAACCACTGTGGAAGTCAGTGTTTCGGTTTCTCAGGAAATTCGGGATCAACCTATCCCTGGACCCAGCAATACCACTCTTGGGAATATACCCAAGAGATGCCCTATCATATGACAAAAGCATTTGTTCAACTATGTTCATAGCAGTATTATTTGTAATAGCCAGAACCTGGAAACAACCTAGATACCCTTCAATGGAAGAATGGATGAAGAAAGTATGGAATATATACACATTAGAGTACTACGCTGCGGTAAAAAACAATGACTTCTCAAATTTTGCATGCAAATGGATGGAAATAGAAAACACTATCCTGAGTGAGGTATCCCAGACCCAAAAAGATGAACATGGGATGTACTCACTCATAATTGGTTTCTAGCCATAAACAGAAGTAGTATTAACAAGATAACATAATTATAAGTCAATTAATATGCTCACATGACTTTATAACCCTTTTAGGGCCAAAGTAAATGTAAATAGGCAATTATATACAATTGATTGTGGAAATTGATATAATGCCTCTGAATAATAACATTTTAGATTTTTAAAGGACATTGAATGTCTAGAGGAAAACAGAGTGCTTAAGCATTGAAATGTTTTCATATATTTGTATCACTTCAGTTTTACACTGTGACATGCTATTTATTTTTATATCCTGTTTTGTATTAAGGTAAAGCTTTTCAAAAAATGGTGCTTTATGAATTTTCTTAAGGAGGATTTTATTATCTCTAAAGGACCAGAAGTTTTATTTTTAAGCTTATTTATGATTTTATAATGGGAACATATTCTAGCAATGTACAATATCAGAAATGTCAAGATTGTGTCTATTTGCTAAGAAATCACTTCATGTTCAGTTTCTCTTTGTGCTTTAGAGCCATAGAAGTTTGGGGTTAGAAAAGATCTTAGAAATGATCAAGGACAATCACTTCTGAATGTAGGAAACTAATATATCTACCTGTGTATTTCCAAAATAGACAGCTCTCTGGGTATATTTGAGCCTTCCCTATTCTCCTTTTTTTTGAATTCTATTGGTTAATAATTTCTATTATTTTCAATCAAAATAATGCCCCTGCTGGCTTTATCTATTGACCTTGACCATTCTGTGAAAAAAATGCACAACTTCTCATCCCTCAAATCCTTGTTACCTACTGAAATTTTAAGGTCTGTTTTTGTAAGATGAAACATTCTTATTACCTTTATTTATTTCAATGACTTTCTTTTTTGTGTATTCCAGTTATTTAAATCAAACTATGTTGATTTATTAATGTGATTAAGCATTAGAATTTGAGAACCAAATATTAACAGGTGCTTAGTTCCACAGTTTGTATAATTTTCTTTTAAATCATATTTTTCAGTTCTTGGAAAATATTTTACAATATATTTTAGTAATATTCATCACTTCTCCCATCTTCCCCCTGACACCCACAAATATACCTGGATTCCCTACCTAATGAGCATTGTTTCATCTTAAAAAAATATTAAAAACCTATCCAGTTCAATTGATGGTGCATATATTCTTAGATGAGTGGTCTTCCCCTGGCGCACAGTTGAGCAAACACACTCTTTAAAATAAACAACAAAGACCCCCAAAAGCATTTAGTAAATATACTAAAATAAGTAAGTTTCAGTGTAAAAGAAATGAAAAACTTCAGAAATTTATATACAATAAGTGACTGACTATAATTAGCTAACTCTAGGGAAATTTTCAGTTAAACATTAATATAAATGCATTAATTTTTAATGTTAGAATAACACATAGATATACAACATGAAAGGTCTAGAAAAATAGTGGATGCTAAAAATTTCTCAACTTTAATAAAATAGTATAGAGCATGTTTCAATAATAACATTCTGCATTAATGTATACTCGTGATTTAATTCCATGATGTTTATAATGCCAGAAGCTCGGTTTCCTTTAACTTTTCACATTGGCTCATCAATAGTTAAGGCATTTTAAATATAGTATCTGTCTGAAAAAATTTAATATTGGTAATACATTATGATGCTTAAATTTCTGTCTTTCCAGTCTAAGAAAAAATGGCATATATATGATGTGGGAGTCCCTTCTGTGTGCTGTGATTACCATTAATGAATAAAGAAACTGCTTTGGACCTATAGTAAGGCAGAACTTGGGTAGGCAGGGAAAGCTGGACTGAATGCTAGGAGAAGGAAGGGTGGAGTCAGAGAGACACCATGGAGAGGATGGAAATAGACATGCTGAAACTTTGCTGGTAGGTCACGACCTCGTGATGATACATAGATTAATAGAAATAGAATAAATTGATATAAGAGTTAGCCAATAAGAAGCTACAGCTAATGGGCCAAGCAGTGTGTTAATTAATATAGTATCTGTGTGATTATTACAACACACATATGTTTCTTTATAAAAAAGTAAGTGGTGTTTGTGGTTTCTACTAATAATTTTTGTCTCATTTGTTGTATAATATAAATGATGAAATTATGAATGATTTCATTAATAACCAGTAGTCCATAAACAATGTTATGAAACAGCCATATAAATTTGTCATGCAACAAGATGAACAGAATTCATAGTACACTTTCTTTTTATTGTATTTTTTAAAAAGCGAAAATAAACTATTTTTTTTCCTATTACAACCAATACCAGTTCCCTCTTATTCCCCTCCTATTTCCTTCACCTATTCCCCAATCCTACCACCCATACACTCCTCAGAGAGGGTAAGGCACATTGCTTTGGGGATGGTACAAGGCACTCCCTTACTATATCTAGGCTGAGCAAGGTATCTATCCAAAGAGAATAAGATCCCAAAAAGCCAATATAAGCAGTAGGGATAAGTCCTGGTGCCACTGCCAGTGGCCCCAAAGTCTTCTCTAGCTATGCAACTGTCACCCACATTCAGAGGGACTAGTTTGATCATGCTGGTTCCTTCCCTGACCAGCTAGAGTTGGTGATCTCCCATTAACTCAAGTGAACTGTTTCACTGGATGTCCCCATCATGGTCTTGATCTCTTTGCTCATTTTCTCATTCCTCCTACTTTTTGGGACTTTGGGAGCGCAGCCCAGTCCTCCACTGTCGGTCTCTGCCTCTGTTTTCATCAGTTTCTGGATGAAGGTTCTGTTGTGAGATTTAAGATATTTATTAATCTAACAACAGGGCAAGGCTAGTTCAGGTACTCTCTCCTCAATTGTTTAGGGTCTTAGGTAGGTTCATCCTTGTGGATTACTGGGAATTTCTCTAGTGCCAGGTTTCTTGCTAGGCCCATAATGGCTCTCTTAATCAAGACATCTCTTTCCTTGATCACATATCTGTCCTTTCTACATCTAAACTATTCCATTCCCTCAAGTTCACTCCCCCTCCCCTTCTCCTATCCTCTTTCCCTTTCACCCTCCCTTCTGCTCCCAGACCATTCTCCCAATTTTGTCAGGTGTTCTTGTCTGTTTTCAGTTTCCAGGTGGATGTATATATGTTTTTCTTTGGTTTACCTCATTACTTAGCTTCTTGAGGATCATGAACTATAGGCTCAATGTCCTTTGTTTAGAGCTAGTATCCTCTTATGAATGAGTACATACCATACTCATCCTTTTGGGTCTGGGTTACCTCACTCAGGATACTGTTTTCTAGTTGCATCCATTTTTATACAAAATTAATGTCATTGTTTTTCACCACTGAGTATTATTCTAATGTGTAGATATGCCACATTTTCTTTACCCATTCTTTAGTTGAGGGGCATCTAGGTTGTTTCCAGGTTCTGACTATTACAAATAATGCTGCTATGAACTTAGTTGAACAAATGCCTTTGTAGTATGATTATCTTTTGGATATATGTGCAAAAGTGGTATTGCTGGATCTTGGGGTAGATTGATTCCCAATTTTCTGAGAAACCACTATACTGATTTCCAAAGTGGTTGTACAAGTTTGCATTCTCACCAGCAATCGATGAGTGATCCCCTTACTCCTCATCTTCTCCAGCTTAAGGTATCATTGATATCATTGATTTTAGCTATTCTGACAGGTGTAAGATGTTATCTCAGAGTTCTTTTGATTTGCATTCCCCTGATGGCTAAGAATGTTGAACATTTCCTTAAGTATCTTTTTGGTCATTTGAACTTCTTCTGTTGAGAATTCTCTGTTTTGTTCTATACCTGATTTTTTAATTGTGTTATTTATTATTTTAATGTCTAATTTCTTGAGCTCTTCATATATTTTAGAGATCAGTCCTTTGTCTGATGTGGGATTGGTGAAGATCTTTTCCCATTCAATAAGCTGCCTTTTTGTCTTATTGACTGTGTCCTTTGCTTTATAGAAGCTTATCAGTTTCAGGAGATCCCATTTATTTGTTGTTTCTCTCAGTGTCGATGCTACTGGTGTTATATTTAGGAAGTGGTCTCCTATGCTCATGCATTGAAGAAAACCTTCCACTTTCTCTTCTATCAGGTTCAGTGTGGTTGAATTTTTATTGAGGTCTTTAATTCATTTGGACTTGAGTTTTTTTGCATGACAATAGATATGGATCTATTTTCATTTTTCTACATGCTGACATCCAGTTACACCAGCACCATTTGTTGAAGATGCTTTCTTTTTTCCACTGTATAATTTTAGCTTCTTTGTCAAAATCAGGTGTTCATAGGTTTGTGGATTTATATCTGGATCTTTGATTTGATTCCATATGTCAACCTATTTGTTTTTATGCTAATACCAAGCTGTTTTCATTAATTTAGTTCGATAATGGAGCTTGATGTCAGGTATTGTGATCCCTCTGGATGTTCCTTTATCGTACAGGATAGTTTTGGCTATCCTTGGTTTTTTATTTTTCCACATGAAGATGATTATTTTTCTTTCAAGGTCCATGAAGTATTGTGTTGGGATTTTGATGGGGATTGCATTGAATCTATAGATTGCTTTTGATAAGATTGCCATTTTTATTCTCTTGATTCTACCTATCCAAGAGCATGGGAGATGTTTTCATTTTATAGTATTTTCTTCAGTTTTTTTCTTCTAAGACCATGTTCTTGTCGAACAGGTCTTTCATAGTACACTTTCACTCATTAAAGTTGAAGCAGTTCTTTTTGATATTTTCCTATTGTTAGAATTTCTTTAAGTGGTTTTATTATATTGCTTTTTGAGACATGTTTTTCTTTCTATCTTTGGAGCCTATTATGGAACAAGCTCTTGTAGACCAGGCTGAGCTCAAATGCACAGAGATTTGTCTGCTTCTGCCTCCTAAGTTCTGGTTTTTAAAAGCGTGCACCTCCATTGCCTGGTTTATTAAAAGTCTTTTAAAAATTGACTACAATGGCTTAATTTCTTTCACAGTTCATAGTTCTCTGCAGAAAGCTACTTTTGGACATCATGTAATCCAGGGATATTTTGAACAGTTCAATTATCTTTAGAAGTTAAAATCTCTCAGTGCCAATTAAATAAATCAGCACCTACACTCATATGTTCTCGAGGATACAATTAAAGTAAACTAGCATCATTTTCAATCACACCTTAACTAAGGGTGGGACTTCCTGTTCATTTCTCCTCTCCATGCAGTCATTTATCTTGCTTGAGTTTACACAGGTCTAGTGGACAGTGCCACATTTGCTGTGGATTCATATGTGCAACTTCCCTTCTATATTGGAAAACACTGTTTTCTTGTGGTCATCCTTAATTATCCTATACCATCTTCCACAATGTTCTCTCAGCCTTGGAAGGAGAGGGTGTAGTATACATGTTCCCTTTAGTACTAATCATTACACAACTACATATTCTCTAAACCCTTGATAGTTATAGGGATTTTGGTTTTTACTCCACTGTCAACAGAAGCTTCTCTGATGAGGGTTAAAAGATGTACTAATCTATGTTTATAATAATAAATTATAAGAAATCAATTTAATGCTGTGTCCATCTAGCAGAATACTAGTAGTTGGCTTTTCTCCTAGGGGCTATGGCCTGCCTAGCCACAAGTTACTGGTCTGATAATAGTGCCAGGTATGAGTTTCATCTTATGGAGGAAACATTAAATTCTACCATAAATTCATAGTTTATTCCGATGGTGTTCGTGCCACTATTGCACAACGGCAGGCCAGTTATTATGGTAGTCCACAGGGTTTGTAGCTGGATACTATTTATGCCTACTTTTCTCTTCTGGTAGCAAGCATAGTACCTTTTAGAACTATGAAAGCTAGCCAGTAGGAAGGAAGCTTCCAGGGGAGTACCAGCTTGATTCCTCCTTGTCCTGTGTCTCAAGTAGGTGCCATCTTCAGTAAAAGGTCTTACTGTCAGTGTTTGAGGGTAGTTAACAGCAATAGCTGTTAACATTTGTGGGTCTTTAGGCCCTCATTGTTCAAAAATTCTCAAAGACATGGCCCATTCCTTGCACTAGACATTTTATTTAATAATGTATTACATCTAATAGCGTTTTTGACCTATTATTGGGTGACTCCATTTTAACTCATTTTATATATGCATGTGATTTTATCTATATTTTAAAAAGTTTCTGTAGTAGTAGTTTTCTATATGATCTCTTTACCAAAAGGTCTTTAGACAAGTGGCCTTTAAATCAGGGTTATATTTTTTTATAACCTTGAGAGACTTCAGATTCTTATTCCTTTAGATATCTTTGAGTGGAATTCGGACTACATGCATATGTGCTTGTAACTGTTTTATATTCTTACTCTTTTGTAGAGAGTAATTTATTTAAACTTACCATGAATATGGATCCTGGTTCTCTAATTCACATCTTGATGTTCCTGATTTTCTTTAGGTTTTATTCTCCTAAATAATGTGAAATGATCTATGGTAGATGGTAGATTAAGTTGGCTGTTGTTATCTACAGTGTTTTATCTATGCTTGAACATTTGGCTCCTTTTAATTCCAATGGACAAAGTTGTTCTTTTGTTGAGAGTTTTGCTCATGTACTTACTAAATCTAATATCAATTTTTTTCATGGAATTATTTATTGACTGTGGTATATTGGCCTATGATATAATTCAAATAAAAATCTGCCAGAAAAAACATTATAATTAACTTTGCTAACAATTTATCCATATTCTTAAATTTTAAAATTGAAAGTATATTTGTATTTCTTAATTTGATATTGTTTCACTTTCTTGTTTTCATTAGGATATTAGCTGCAATGAAATTCAGGTCCTTCCCCAACAAATGGGAAAATTACATTCACTTAAAGAGCTAAATATAAGAAGAAATAATCTCCATGTTTTGCCAGATGGTAAGATATTCACTATTTCTACTTACTTGAGTAAAAGAGTAACCATACAATCTTTAACTTTAGTCTCATTTTTGAAGAGAATTAGGAGATCTTCCCTTAGTGAAGTTGGATTTCTCCTGTAATAAAGTGACTGAAATTCCTGTTTGCTATAGGAAGCTACACCATTTACAAGTAATAATTTTGGATAACAATCCATTGCAAGTACCGCCAGCACAGGTTTGTAATAAGAATATGATGTTTCTTTCTTTTCAGTTTTATCATGATTTTATTTTTATTAAATTTAAATACAGTATCTTATGAGTCAATTTTATCTTTTACATAGGAGTATCTAGACTTTTTCTATGAACTGACATTTGATGTTTTTGTTTTGTTTTACGATGGTCTCATATTTTTATGCTGGTCTCAAACTTTCTTTGTGGTGGATGGATATGAATTTTATTTTATTTTTTATTTTTTGAGACACGGTTTCTCTGCGTTGTTCTGGATATTCTTGAACTCATTCTGTAGATAGGACTGTCCTACAACTCAGAGATCCACCTGCCTCTGCCTCCCAAATACTGGGATTAAATCTGTGTGTTACCACTGCCCAACAAGATGGCTATGAATTTTGATCCTACTCCTGTCTCTACCTATCAAATAATGAACTTGGAAAACTGTGGCACCATGGCCTGCTAGAAACTTTTTTATTTTATTTTGATAATAGTTTCAGTGTAAGTTATAGACAAGCATTTGGAAAACCTAGAATCTCCCTTTCTCTGTGTGTATTTACAATTCTGACTGTGTTATTTTAAAAAGAAAGATTCTGAACTCTCTCAGGTATACATTTGCTTGGTACTTATTGAACTATTGGTATAATGGGTATTGAGATGTGGGTTGGAATTAGAGTTCCTCTAGGAAAATTTCATGCATTAAGATGGCCTGTCTGCAGGACCAAGAGTGCTTTGCCTGAGGAAAGATAGTTCACATAAAGAAGACTAGCTACATATCCTCTCCAGTATATTTTTGCTGCTGAGATAGAATTATAACATATAAAAAGATACAAGTGGAAAACATTAATTTTGTATTTTAATATAATGAGTAATAAAGCCCCAAGGAATCTTCCACTGAAACAATAAAGAATAATCCAAGATATAAATTCAACAGATCACAGAGAATCATGAAATGCAAACAGCAGGAATTTGAAAATTGTACTAACTCCAAGCATTGGTCCCTGGCATGTGAAGAAGTGCCTTTTTTCTTTCAACAATGATATATTACATTCATTACAAAGGGAATAAATATTTTACTTTTATATATTTATTGAGATTTAGAGAATTTTATATAATGTGTCTTGGTTATATTCACATTCACCCTCCACTCTTCCTCTTCATCCTCCATGATCCACTTACTCCCCATCATGTCTTCCTTTTTCCTTGCTTTTTATCAGAAGAAACTTTCTTCCAGCAGCTGTCTGGGTCTTCTGTCACTTACAAACTCTTATTACCTTCTTCTGTGATGTTTCTGAGCCTTAAACATACCATCTATGCTGCACATGTGTCTGTTAGGGCTAGACATCCAATGTTCAGATGATCTCTGCATTTTGACTAGTTGTGGCTTTCTTTTTTCCTTCTTTTTTATTGTAACTATTTTTATACAATATATTCTATTGGTTCTTTTGCCCTCAACTCCCAAATCCTCCCCACCCCTTCACACACTCAAATCCACATCCTTTCTTGCTCTTCATTATTAAAAAACAAACAGGCATCTAAAGAAATAATGAAATGTTAAAATAAAAATAAACAAACATGAACAGGTCCAAACAAGCAAGCAAACGGAAAAGAGTCAAAGAAAAAGCACAAGAAACACACATATATGTAGAGACTTGCATACACATACAGAAATATCCTATAAACACAAAATCAGAAACCATAATATGTAAGCAAAGGACAACTTCTGGGTTATTGATCAGGGCTTGTGTCCACTTCCCTCTCAATGCTAAGACATCTGGCTTAGACATGTGCAGGGCCTGTGCATGCCGCCATATTCTCTGTGAGTTCATATGTGTACTGGTCCTGTCGTGTTTAGAAAGCCTTCTTTCCTTGGCGTCCTCCATCACCTCCGGCTTTTATAATATTCTCCTCTCTTTCACAGGATTCCTTGCAGTTGTGGCTTTTTTTCTAAATGATCTCTATCAACTGCAAAAGGAAGCTCTCTAATGAGGGTGGGAGCTACATTTATTTGTGGCTATAAGGACAAATGTTGATTTGTAATGCAGTAGACATTATACTGATTTAGGTAACTTCTCCTCTACCTTCCATGGGCTCCTCAGTCATGGGCAATTGGCTAAGTTTACAGTGCCAAGCAAGGATTCCCTGCTATTGAGTGAGTCTTAAGCCATGTGAAGTGACTGCTGATTACTCCAAAGATATTAGTGCCATTATTGCACTTTTAAGAGTATTCTGCCATACTGTTCAATGTTATTGTTCATAGTGTTACAACTGTATAGGGCTATTGTTTGTTCTGATCTGTTGGTAGCTTGCATGTATGATTCCTTCTGAAACTACAATTGCTAGAGGTCACTGAGGAGGCTTCCAGTTCAGTTCTAGATGTATTCCTTCAAATCCTGTGTATAAAGTATGTTCTGTCTTCAGCAATTGAATCTTACTTTCTTTTTCTGTAAGGCACTAAGAGCACTAACTATAGTATATATTGTTTGGGGGGTCCTTTTGATAGCCCTAATCAGAAATTTAAAAGGAAGTTTACCATGCCTGGCACCGGATTTTTGTTAAATAGTCAAGACTTTGGGGGTGACCATTGTCTCCCCTATTTGTGTAACTTTAATTAACCCCCCACACTCTTAAATATACTCCATAGTCCATGTAATATAAAAAAAAGTTTATTCACTAGAATCTGAGGAACTTGTTAAAATCTTACATTCTTTTCTAATGATGTATCTGTATGAAGCCAGATATTCTTTATATATTTCTACCAAAAAAAACAGTGACAGCCTGAAAAAAAAATAGTGAGTGTCGTGGTCATCCCAGCACCTGATGGGGTGAGGCAGGAGGATCAGCAGTTCAAACATAGGTAGTTTGAGGCCAGCTTCAGTTATATGGAACTGTCTCAAGGATTTTCTTGAATAAGTCGTTTAATTCTGTGCATTGTTTTCTTTTTTGGTGGGGGGTTGAGGTGCCTGACTCCAGAATCTATGCTCTTTAATTGCTATATGTACTGTGTTTTGAAAAGACAGGGAAATAAGGTTAAATGAATTGATGGGGAATTCAACAAATAATGTTAGTCAAACTAGATAGCAACACATAAAAGAAAAAAAAATAGATTCTCATCTCTTATCTTGCACAAAATTTAACTACAAATGGACCAATGATTTCAACGTCAGACCTTATACCCTGAAGTGCATAGGGGAAAAGGTAAGGAACATCCTTGGGCACATTTGTCACCATAAAGGTCTTTAGGAATGGGACTCCAATAATGCATGACACTAAAACTGATAATATATGGGACCTCATGAAATGAAATTTTTTTCTGTGTGGGAAAGGGCACCCATCACTTGAGTAGAGAGCTGTCATACAGAATGAGAAGAAAATCTTTCCAAGCCTTACCTCTATGAGAAGACCATCCTCTTAAAAACCAAACTTTAAAAGGAACCGAACTTCATGAAAACAGCCAAATGAAATTGAGGCATGAAAGTAAACACAGAATTTTCAAAAGAAGAAATACATATAGCTGACAAATAATTTAAGAAAGTTCAACATCCTCAACTATCACGGAAATGGAAAATTAAAACTACTTGAGATTTTATCTTATTGAAGTCAGAATGACTAAAGTAAAACAAAAGAAAACAAAGCCTCAACAAGAAATGACCACGAATGCCGGTAAGGATGTGGACAAAGGAAAACATACATCCACTGTAGTGCGAGTACACAATGATGCAACCACTATGAAAATTGGTGTGGTGCTTCCTCACAAAAGCTAAATATAGATCTGCTATATGACTCAGCTATACCACTCCTGAACATATTCCCAAAGGACTTTGCATCCTACTATGGATACTTGGTGACCCATGTTCACCATTGCTTTAGTCAGGAAAGGAAAGCGGTCTAAATTTCCATCAAGCAATGAATGGACAATTCAAGTGTGATATATATACATAATGAAAATTCACCTATATTCTCATAAAAATTGTTGGAGCTGGAAATAATTATCCTTGCTGAGGTAGTCCAGATGCAGAAAAAGAAATGCCATGCATTTTCACTCACATGTGAATGCTAGCATTGCATTTTTAATGTGCATGTTCTAATTGTAGTTCCCAAAAAAGTCAGGAAACTAGTAAGTGACCATAGGAAGATATTTTAAAGGGACGGGGATAGAAGATGGGCGGGATGAAAGAGCAAAGAAGAATCGTAGAATAAAGGTTAAATGGGGGTAAGGAATGGAATGGTAGGTCTTTTCTCTAGTGTGTGTGTGTGTGTGTGTGTGTGTGTATGTGTTGTCTTCTTTGTAAAACATCTGTTAGTTGTAGGAGTGTAGATTTATACGTGGGTCTTTTGTTGATCAACATGTCTGTTTCTATGCAAGTACAATGCTATTTTATTATTATAAATCTATGCTGTAATTTGAAATCGGGGATGGTGATTGCCAGCACTGTTTTCATTGTTTTGGCCATCCTTGCTTTTTTGTTTTTGACATGACTACTTTTTAATAGTGCTTTATCTCATTTTAAGAATTCTCTCTGTGTTTTTTATGTGTGTGTATTGTGTGTGCAGCCATTTGTGCATGCATGTGTGGGGCTGTGCTCATACCACAGTACATGTGTGGAGCTCAGAGGACAATCTCACGAGTTAGTCCTTCCACCTTGTTTGTAAAAGGCTCACTTCTTCTGTCTCTTCATATACTAGGCTAGCTCCTTGCCAGGTTTAAGGGATTTTCTTGTCTCCATATTCTACCATGCTGTATGAGTGTTGGGATTAGAGACTTGTGCTACTCTATTTGGCTTTTTATGTGGATTTTAGGGATTCAGACATAGGCCCTCATGTTTTTGTGGCAAGTGCTTTACTCAGCAAATCATCTCTTCAGCCAGCATCCCTTCTTTTGTGTGGTGTTTACCTCTTAACATTGGTTTTCTCTATGACCAGTAGAAATATTTTTTTCAGGGTGTTTTCCTGGTTGAACTTCATTCTTGCTGGCTTGTGATTGTTATGGTTTTATTTTAGTTTTTTATTCACATTTTACATCATTTTTTTCTGGTCTTGGTGAAATTACATATATTATTTTTTTCTTTTCTCATTAATCCACTGAATGGTGTATTTGTTTTCTAATGTAGGTATCAATTATGACATATTTGTGAAGGATTATCAATATTTTATAGTATTCAGAAGTTTGTACATTTTACTTTTAATAAGAAAATGTGAGTGAACTATAAAAAATAGGGGCTAGAGATCTGATGGCTCACCAGTTAAGGGTAGTTTCTGCTCTTCCAGAGGACTCAGAAAAAATTTCAGTTTCCAGTATGTGAATACTGACTCTAGTTGTAGCATCTCCCAAAGTCTCTTCTGGATTCTATGGTCATCAGGCACACATGTGGGACATTTACATGCACACAGGCAAACACACATATACATAAAGCAAAAATAAAGAAATCCTTTAAAAATTAAATGGTTTATAGGGGGATGAGGAATGTCTGTGCGACTGAGCTCCCAAGGCCCAAAAGAGGAGCAGAAGGAGGGAGAACATGAGCAAGAATGCCAGGACCGCGATTGATGCACCCATCCACTGAGACAGTGGGGCTGATCTATTGTGAGCTCAACAAGGCCAGCGTGACTGGGACTGAAAAAGTATGGGATAAAACTGAACTCTCTGAACATGGCAGACAATGAGGGCTGATGAGAAGCCAAAGACAATGGCACTGGGTTTTGATCCTACTGCATGCACTGCCTTTGTGGGAGCCTAGCCTGTTTGGATGCTCACCTTCCTGGACCTAGATGGAGAGGGGAGGACCTTGGACTTCCCACAGGGCAGAGAACCCTGACTGCTCTTGGGACTGGAGAGGGATGGGGAGAGAAGTGGGGAGAGGGGAAGGGAAGTGCGAGGCGGGGAGGAGGCGGAAATTTTTTCAAAAAAAAAAAGAAAGAAAAAAAAACACATCAAAGGGGTTGGGTTATATAGAACAAGAAAAGAATTATTAGCTGTAAAAGCAAAGAACATTGGATTAATGTTTGGAATAAATTTATTGATCAAACAGTCAAAAAATAAATGGTTTATTTAAAGAGAAATATACAGAGGGATTGCACAGTTCTAAGCCAGATGGGGTCCCAGCACTGAGAGGGGAAGTGGATACAAGCCCTCATCCCTAACCCAAATAATATCTCCAATTTACAGCTGCTAGTAAAGGGTGAATTAGTTTTCTCCCTGAGTATACCAACCAGACTTAAGGACAGGCCACATGCCCAACAGTGGATGACCAGAAACAAAATGAACTTAATGCTATTTTTGAAGATCACTGTGGGAGGGGGGCTTGTTTTGTTCATGATGCTTTGCGTGGGCCCTATTTATTATCTTACAGATCTTATGTTAATATATAATGCTGTCCAATTTTGTTTTTATGGCTTTTCTGTGTGTGTGAATGAATGTGTGTATCTCAGTGTCTGTATGTGTTTTTGAGTATTTTCTTTGGCTCTTTTTTGCTTATTTCTTTTGTTCTATTTAGGTTTGTTATTATTTTATTTTGTCTTATAATAAATAATTAATAATAATGATTAGGTAGATAAATAGATAGATAGATAGATAGATAGATAGATAGATAGATAGATAGGGTGTAATTTGGGTGGGTGTGGAAGTGAGGAGAATCTGGGAGAGTTAGCAGAGGGGAAAGCGTAATCAGAAGATATTGTGCAAAAAAATCCATCTTCAGTTAAAAAAAAAGAAAATACCCTTATTCTTAACAAAGAAAAATAAAACATATACAGAATATTTTCTGATAAAATGATCATAGATTTTTGTTGTAATATGAGTGGCGAGGCTGCGTCCCCGGCACCCCGGCCGCCTGGCTGGCTTATGCCCCGAAATAATTACACGGAAACTGTATTCATTTAAACACTGCTTGGTCCATTTGTTCCAGCCTCTTATTGGCTAGCTCTTACATATCGATCTAACCCATTTCTAATATCCCTGTAACACCGCGATGCGTCTTACCAGGGAAGATCTTAACCTGCGTCTGTGTCCGGTAGGAGAATCATGGCGACTCCTTGACTCAGCTTCTTTCTCCCAGCATTCTGTTCTGTTTACTCCTCCCACCTATGTTTTAACCTATCAGGGCCAAGCAGTTTCTTTATTGCTTAACCAATGAAATCAACAGATTGATATATGACACTCCCACATCAAATTTTCTTAATTTTTACATACTAATTCCAATTCCCCCTCCTTCCCCCGCTCCCCCATTTTCCCTCCTCCTCCACCATCTGTTCCTCAGAGAGGGTAAGGGAGTAAATGAATTCTGTTGTATCGCCACATTGAGGCAGGACCAAAGGCCCTCCCTCTCAAGTCTAGACTGAGCAAGGTTTCTCTTCATAGGAAGTGCGTTCCAAAAAGTCAGATCATTCATTAGGGATTGCTACTGATTCTGCTGCCAGAGGCCCCACAAACTGCCTATACCACCAGCTTTCAGGGGGACTAGATTGGTTTTATGTAGGTTTCCTGGTTGTCTGTCTGGAGTCAGTGAGTTCCCACAACTAACCACTCTGCATCTGCATCTCTGCATCTTCTTCCACTTGTGACTGAATGGAGAGATGGCTCAGCTGTTAAAGCCTTGGCTCACAACCATAAAAGATAAAAGATTTTTATTTGTTATCATTATTGTCACATTTTCCTTCCTTTCACCACACATATAATTCAGTAAAATATACAAACTACCAAGGTTGTGATATCTCAGCCTACTTTGAGATCATTTCAACATACAAATAACTTGACAGTGTTCTTTTATATTTGCAATTAAAAAGCAGAGAGATGGCTCAGCAGTTAAGTGCACTCTCTATTCTTGAAGGGGATCTGAGTTTGTTTCCCAGCACTCACATTGTGGTTTATAATCACCTGGAACTTCAATTCTAGGGAATCACATATCTTTTTCTGGCCTCTGCCATATGGCAAGCACGAGGTGCACATACATACAAGCAAAACACTCATACACACAAATAAATAAATATTTCTATTTGGAGTTATTACTAAATCTACTTCATTTTTTGGTTACAGATATGCTTAAAGGGTAAAGTACATATATTTAAGTACTTGAATATACAAGCATGTTGTAGAATGGATAAGAAACCAGATTCCTGTGCCTTCTCAGCCCCTCACAGACAGGTAACATAAACAGTCTTATTTCACCTGATGTTTTTCCTCTGTTAGAACTCTCTGGGGTATGCAGAATGAATCTAGTCTGATTACACTAGTATTTAAAAAATGTATTTGGCTGATCATCATTGCTTATTGAATAACTTCTGGGATACAGAACTAAATGTGAAATTTTTCCCCAGATAGCATTATTTTAGCACAGAAAATGTATATGTTTGACATTAAAGGTAAAAGTATTGATTTCCTTACTGTGACAACTGGTAGCTTAATCACTGCTTTAATACTTGTAACTAGCAGGTAGAATTTGACTTTGAGCTGAAGTTGATGCAAGCAGAAGATATTTTGGAGGTGCATCTCTTTTTTTGTCCAATGTTCTTTTCTTTTTCTGATGTTGAGTATTCAATCTAAACAAACACTCTATCACTGACCTACAACCTCAGCCCTTTGTGTGTGTATGTTCTTTTTCTTTTTGCAGTGCCGGGAGTTGAATGCAGAGCCTGTTGTATATTAGACCAGTGTTCCACCATTAAACTATAACTCTATCTCCAGGGCAAAAGTAACATATCATTGATATTCTTTGATTGTGCTGTCCTCTATAACATTTTGATATGGCAGATATGTTATTCTTTTTAATTCATAACTTCAAGATGTAAATTGGTCTGAAAGACTTTTGAAAATATAATTTTATCCAGAAATATGAAAAAAAAACTTGGAATGGGGTAAGACTACAGAAAGGGAATCTCTGACCACCTAAATATTTAAAGGTTTGTCATTGATTTATATGATAAATTTTACATTGTTTTGGATGTGATTGTAGTAATATTGTTAAGAGTGAAGTCATAAGTTCCCAAATAGGACATTCTCACAATTATTTCTTCTCCTTTCATAAAATATTTGCATATTGTATTTATTTCCTAAGGTATATTTTGTTTGATAGTAGTAGCAGAATATCATTAAAATTCTATTAAAGTTAGAATTAATATCTAGGGTAATATCTACTAGTATGTTTTATTTTTTTTGAAAGTGAGGTTAGTAATGGTGTTCATTTTTTTCTCCAATCATTTTTGTTATACATAGCTGTTGAATGCCTACTGTTAGATTCAGGGCATATTTTGTTGAAAGCAGTACATGTTTTTTTGGCAACTATTTGAACTCATAGTCTAGGTGGAACAAGGAACCATATAAATAAGTGTTCAGTCCACTTTGTATTGCTATAAAGAATACCTGAAACCATATAATTTTAAATAATGAAAATTTTTATGGCTCGTAGTTTTGGAAACTGATTAAGTCCAAAATAGGCAGGGTACATTAAGTGAGGGCCCGATTATTGCACCACAGCATGTCAAAAGGTGACAGATTAAAAAAAAAAAAAGAAAGTTAGAGATGTGAACAGGATGTCAGATTACTGCCGTAACAACTCTATTTCTCAGACAAAACTAACTCCTACAATAGAGGTTAATCTCTTCAAAGACTAAATTTTTTTTGAACCAAATTCCTACCAGACTTCACATGACAATGTATTTGTATTGGGCATTAAGTTTACAACACATTTAGATCATAACATTCACACCCCCCCCCACACACACACTCGCACACAGATGTATGCTCATGTACACACACACAGAGAGTCACACATGATGGCTGGCATATGATGGTACATTTTACCATTTTTTTTTAATTTTTCATGGTGCTTAAGCTACATGCAATCAGCAGAAACCATGCTTCATTTTTGAATTTTCATCATTTCCAGGGATTTCAATATATAGTATGAGTATACCCTTGTGATGATGGGCAGTGACAATGAGCTGAGGGTAAACACATAATACTCTACAGTGGACTGTGTGTTGCTAAAGCATGATGTTCAAAATTCATGGTAAATGAATTTTTATTTGAAATATTTTTTAACTTACAATTAGTTTATTGGAACATTTTAACATGTATTAAAATTTGAAATTATGACACACACTTTGACAGACAAATATTTCTCATCATATTCCAAGACTTTGATTAAGGAATATCTATTTGGGACGTTGAAGACTTTTAGCATTTTGTTTTTCTATTTTTGAGAAAAATTCTTGAAGTAATAAGAGTGGCGGGGCTGCGTTCCCAGCACCCCGGCCGCCTGCCCGGCTAGCTTATGCCCCAAAATAATTACACAGACACTGTATTCTTTTAAGCACTGCTTGGCCCTTTAGCTCTAGCACTTACAGGCTAATTCTCACATCCCGATCAAACCATCTCTAATAATCTGTGAGAACCGGTCTTACCGGGAAGATTCTAGCCTAGTCCATCCTGGGTCGGAGCTTCATGCCGGGAGCGGGGCATGGCGTCTCTCTCAGGCGTCTGATCCCGCAGGAGAGAGCTGTCGAGTCTGAGCTCACTTCCTCTTCCTCCCAGAGTCCTGTCCTGTTTTCTCCTCCCACCTGTCCTCTAACCAATAAAATGGGCCAGGGCAGTGCCTTTATTAGCGAATGACCTTCCTCCATCATTTCCCCTTTTTCAGTTTAAACAAAAAAAAGGCTCTAACATAGCAAAATTACATATAACAAAACAGTTATCAAGTAAAAGTTACAATAATCTTTATCATAACTAAGGAAAACTATAACTATAACTAACTATTCTTAACTCCATCAAAGACTCCAGAAAGATACAATACTACCTAAGCAAACAAGAAAAAAGCAAATTTTAAAACTCTAGAAATGACAGAGACATCTTGCTGCCTGGACAGTCACGCAAAGTTCCTCTGTACCGTTGGGGCATCCATCTTCAGCCTTCAGGCCCATGGTATCCAGCAGACATTTCCATAAAGCAGGAAAATTCAAAGTCAGTTCAGTCACTATCTGTTGTGTCCTGCAGAATGTCTCGCAGACTCTTTCATGAATCAGGAACCCCGAAAGATCATCTCACCTTAGGCAAGTTCAGTAGTCCCCTCTCTGCGGGTTTTCTGTGTCCAGTTTATGCAATAGTCCAGGCAAGAGCAGTTTCTTGCCCAAATGGCTATCAAACTCCATAACGAGCCTCTTCGATGCCCATCTTCCTCTTGAAGTAGATTGGTGCTGCCAGGAGCAGAGTGTCTCATTGTCATGAAAAGTCCTCAGTTATTAAAACATTAAATGTCCTATTCTGTAATCTTTGAAAGACATGAAGAATGTCTATCTAAAATATATCTCTATATATGTAGAAAATCTAATTAACATGACTACAAGCTTTACTTTTATCGATGATTATCCATTAACAACCTATATTTCTTAATTATACAGTACATATTTAAATGAACTACACAATCACAATACCTTAATCAAAATCAGAAACACTTATACATATAACAAAATTGACCTTAAATCTCTATCAATAAAGCAAAATCTATACTAATGCAAATTATTCATATCTATATCATATCCCCCTTCAAATGTAAAAGGACGTTTATAAACCATATTTGGGAACATGGGCGCAGTTTTTTCTCTCCAAACTGCTTCCTGCTGAATGGGGGCGTCGTTAATTAGGTCTTTCATGGTATAACCTGTGTGCTAGTTTCATCTCAGTTGGCAGTTGAGCGAAGCAATTTTTTGAAGGCGTTCACACCAACCCTTCAGGAGGGCGTGGTCCATCATACCAAATCAGAATAAATGCAATCCACAAGGTCTGATCCTCTGTGAAAACAAAAGAAGAATCTCTTTTCCAAAGTATCATATCCTTAGATCCAAATTCTGAAATCATACCCTCATGATATCCGTTCTGGTTCCATTTGGCAGCCCATATAATGAAATGTCTCTCTGTACTTAGCTCCTTCACAGTCAAAAATTTTAAAGAAAACACAATGTACATAATCCAGACTCTCTGTGAATTTTCCATTTTTACGTGGCTTATTTTTCTTTATTTCTTTTAATCTCTTAACTGTACTCTGTCTCTTTAAAGACTTTACTTTTACTTTTTTAAACCATTAACTTTATTCTCTATATTCTTTTTGTTCTCTCTCCCAAGCCTACGTACATTCATCCACAGTGTGACTCATTTAGTGGTCTGAATCTGTCCTATTGTGAATCTGCAATTTTTTACTATCCAAGGGCACTTTTGATTTGCGCCTTTAAATCAGTAGGCACTTAAGAATCTAAGCTGTGACATTCCTAGGTTAACTTTTTGCTTTTTGAGCGTATATCTTTGACCTGGAATATCTCTGTAGACCAGGCTGTCTTTGAACTCTCAGAGATCTGCCTGTCTCTGCCTCCCAGGCATTCGGGATTAAAGGTGTACACTACTACAACTTGAACTCACAGAGATCTGTTTGTCTCTGCCTTCTAGGCACTGGGATTAAAGGCGTGTGCTACCACACACAACAACTCTCTTCCTTTTTTTGTTTTTTACTTTAAGAAGTTCAACTTTTAGTCTGTATATATTTTTAACACAATGTAAACCATTTAAAAATTTTCTTTGTCTTTGAATCTCTCTTTACTGTATATCTCTCTTTTTTTGACCACATGAGTCTTTAATTTACCAAGCAATGTCAGTAGGATTAAAGGCGTGGCTTTGCCAGCTAGATCCAGTCCATTCCTTAGCTTTTCAGCCTCATGGCTGAGGTACTGCTGTGGCCATGTTTACTGCAACAACTGTATGGCATTTCAAGGTCCCTGCCAGCAAGTGAGCTACAACAGACAACACTCAAGTCCTCTCTTGGTAGCCGGCCCTCCTGCCTCAAATAGTCAGAGTTTGCCCTGGCAGGACAGCCCAGAAAGCTGGCATTTTTAAACGGCGCAGCTTTTTTCCTGCTACGGCTGAAAACCGAAAAGCATGCGTTCAGCTTTAACCATTTAAGTGTTTTGTGGCAGGACCTCTTAATGAGCTGCAGGCTTTTGCAGCTAAAGCTGAGTCAGGAAGCCTCTCTTAGATGAGGTGCCCACTTGCCTCTAGCAAGCAGAGCAGACCCGAGAACACAGCGAGTCTAGTTGCCATCAAACAAATCGTAGCACTTTACTCCAAATGCTCTATTCAAAAGCTCTGTCTCCCGCAGGAGCCAGACAGAGATCGCAATGGCGGCACAGCCCCAGGAAGTCGCGCTTTAAAATGACACAGCGTTTTTTTTTTCTGCTACTGTTGCCGAATCAGGAAATCTCTCTACAGCACGCCACCAACAAACAGCAAAAATCTGTGTTAAACTCTCTCTCCCTTATTTTTAAGTCTTCTCAGGTTTTTTAAGTGGGTTTAGTCCATCACGTGGGGCGCCATATGAAGTAATAAGAGTGGCGGGGCTGCGTTCCCAGCACCCAGGCCGCCTGCCCGGCTAGCTTATGCCCCAAAATAATTACACAGACACTGTATTCTTTTAAGCACTGCTTGGCCCTTTAGCTCTAGCACTTACAGGCTAATTCTCACATCCCGATCAACCCATCTCTAATAATCTGTGAGAACCGGTCTTACCGGGAAGATTCTAGCCTAGTCCATCCTGGGTCGGAGCTTCATGCCGGGAGCGGGGCATGGCGTCTCTCTCAGGCGTCTGATCCCGCAGGAGAGAGCTGTCTAGTCTGAGCTCACTTCCTCTTCCTCCCAGAGTCCTGTCCTGTTTTCTCCTCCCACCTGTCCTCTAACCAATAAAATGGGCCAGGGCAGTGCCTTTATTAGCCAATGACCTTCCTCCATCAAATTCTCGCTGTGGAGTTCTGTCTGGCCTGGAATTCGTTATATAGACCAGTACAGTCTGACACCTCTGAGGAGCCTCCCTCTCTATGTTTTCAGGTACAGGCTTGTGCCATCAGGCCTGCAACCAAGTATTATGGGGAGGTGGAGTTTTAAATAAACTAAGAGAATCCAGTTGTATGAACAGTGGGGATGGGGTAGGGAGAATGTCAGGAAGAATGTCAAGTGCTGGAGGCACATGCCTGTAACTCAAGAACTAAGGAGGTTGAAGCAGGAGGATGGAAACTTTCAGGTAAGCTTGGGCTACATCATAGCAAGTTTCAGGCAGCTATGGTTAAGGTGATGACAACCTGTCTTACAAAAAAGAAAGAGGAAAATGACCCAGGTCCAGGAAGCTCTTGAGGAATTTTAACATAGTGCTAAAATCAAGGACTGTTCAGGCTTATGTGAAATCTAGGGACCATATTTACATTAACATTTGCAAACTATATAGGTAAATTGCTCTTGTTTGCCTGCCTATAAAATAGAAAAACACCAACCATTTTTGTTAGAACTTTACATAAAGTTTAATTTACGTTGTCTTTAAAACACTTAGCTCAGTATTTGCTACATACTAGGTAGTTATTGCACAGTGTGCAATAAATTCTTTGCTATCTGGGTGGCATAACTTGCAAGTTAAAAATTTATAAGGACAGCTCTAGTCTCACACAAAACAGTTCTATATTCAGCACTTTGCAGATAGTGTGTATGTGTGTGTTCCCTTTTCTTAATTATGAAGTAAACTAGTGTTTGTTAGTCTTCACCCTGGAAGTGATAATGGAAAGAAGCAATTGTCTACAACAGAAGTGAATCTTTTCTCTTGTTGGGTGGTTTCCCACTTCATGGAGCTTTGAAATGGAGGCACTTGTACACATTCAACATTATACACATTATTTATAAAACTAACACATTTTAACAGTCAACAAGAGAGAAATTGTGTGACGTTATAAAATGCCAAAAGTACTGAATAAATGTCTTTATCAAAATGATTTTCTGGCAGGGCAGTCCATTTTCCTCTCTTTCTGTTTTCAGTCTCTTGGGAGAAATAATCTTACCAACTACTAAGTTATGGAGGAAATAAAATAAAAAATACTACTTAAATGTCATGAGTGAAATACATTGTAGAAAAATTTATGTTATTTCCTCCTTTAAGAATTTTGGAGATCAAAAGTATGCATTTTGTGTAGCCTAGGGTGTTTTAACTCAAGTGTGAATTGTGGATTTAAGAGAAAATTCTAACTGCTTTGAGAATTTCTCTTTCTGTAGTATGGAAGATTTTTATCCAAATAAAAATCATGGCCCTGACTCTGGAATTGGAAGTGATAATGGAGAGAAGCGATTGTCTACAACGGAAGTGAGTCTCTTCTCTTGCTGATCCATGCTGCTCTGCTATTTCTTAGAGCGTTGAAAAAGAGGCACTTGACAATGTTGGCTTCTAAATATACATGAAACTTTAATTTTTGTTATATTTTCTGATTTTGAAAGGAGTGCCTATTAATTTTTAAAAGCAGTACATTCATCATAACATCGATTTTTGGTTGGAAATATAGAGATGGAAATCAGATGTTTTGTAATTCCTGTTTAATTAAAGTAGCACAAACATTCGAAATGTGTTTCGAATGTCTCATTTATACAGTATGCTTGTTCCTTTCAGCCATCAGATGATGATACAATCAGTCTTCACTCTCAAGTCTCAGAATCGAACAGAGAGCAAACGTCAAGAAATGACAGTCATCTAATAGGAAGCAAGCCTGATTCACAGAAAGGTACTTCATGTGATATCTGCCAGTTTTATTTCATGTATGCATGGAATATTAAAAGTGAGATTTTTATTAAAATAGACTTTGAAAGTGTGCAGTATTTTATGATATACTTTATATTCACAGCTAAGCTTTTATCATGAGTATAAAGTATTAGAGCATTTATAATATTTCATAATATTAATCTGAACCTAGACCAGGAAGCATATGATTTTATTGATCCCAACACAGAAGATGTAGCAGTTTCTGAACAAGGAGATACACATATTGGATCATTTGTCTCTTTCCTAAAGGTAAACAAAACTGAACAAAGATTAATAACATTCACTTCTTGCTGATCATACAGAAGTATATCATGCAATTTAAAATGATAACTTTGCTTTTTATAAGGGGAAAGAAAAGTGCTCTGAAAAATCTCAGAAAATTGAAGAACTGGGAAATGAAAAAAAGTAAGTATGCAAAAATTTTCAAAATGTTTCTTATGAATTCTTGGACCTGTCATTATGTATTCCTACTTGAGAACACTTGAAAGAATTTGTTTCATATGCCATGTTTTCCCCCATGTCATGTGGAGATAGTTAACTTTCTAGTACTTCGAATTCCTTAATTAAATTCATAATTCTAATAGACATTTGGTCCCCTCTGCAGTAGAATATTAATCGTGTGCATTATTTGGTTACCAAAGAGGACTATGTCTTCATGAATATTATTTCATTTAAGTTCTTTAACAACCCTTTCATATAAATGTCATCAGCATCATTTTATCAATAAGGAAGCTGAGACTTAGAGTTCTGAATCTCTGCAAGTTGGGCTTTGTGACTCTTGATTTAACATACTTTGCATTTTGTAGCCTGGTTATGGAAATGGTGAGCTAGATATTTCCATATTTTATTACAGTAATTGAGATTTTTATCTTTTATTTATATTTCATTTCACAAAATGATGGAGTCAGTTATCCCTTTAGGTTCTTTATAGCTTTACTAATCAGGACCAGCACTTTGTGATTTTCCATGTTTCTCATTTAATCTTGGCTAAAGTCCTGCTTTGGGCAAAATTGACTCTATATCTATCCATATGGGAGGTGCAATTCAGTGATTTTATATTACCTACTAAAAGGTTTTATATTATGTATATAAAGGCACATAGGTAATGCCTATTAGCATCTGAACTGAACTTTCTCCCAGTTCCCTTAGTTTTCTCTGCACATTGTGCTTCCTTCAAGTGACTTTATTGATAATTATGTTTAGTGCTAGGGATTGACTCAAGGTTTTATGCCTGCTAAATGCATATTTTCTAAACTACACACTTGAAACTTCATTTGGTAATTTATAAGCAATTTTTAATTTATACTTCTACTACCCAATGAGGTAGTACATTGCTTTGACTTGTAGTCTTTTTTTTTAATGTGGAGGATTGACTGTAGAGCCTTCACCATGCTAGACAAGTGCTCTATCACTGAGCTATAGCCTAAGTCCTACTTTTTAAATTAATGAGTTTTTAAACAATTTCACAAATGTAAACAAGGCATAGTTGTCATTCTCATCCCCCTTCTCACTACAATCCCTGTTATCCCCACTTCCCACAGATCTTTCCTTCATGTTGTTCATGTCGTTTTATTTTGTTTTGGGGCCCACTGAGATTAACCAGGCCTGTCTGTGTCAACCATTGGTTTAAAAATAGTTGTTGGAGTTTCCTGGCTCAGCAGTGAATACACACCTCAACACAGTGGTTCACCCTCTCCCAATATTTTAGAAGAAATGGGTAGAACTCCATGAGTTCCCCCTTTCCTTGACTTATTGTTAGTAGGTCCTGTCTTGTGTTGGCAAAAATGAAGCTAACAATGTGTTTTACAAAGTAACTTTTGGAGTTTTACATTGTCTAGTGAAGTTGTTCCCAAATTGTGTGTCATGACCCCTTGGACAAATCTCTATCTCCAAAATTAGTCACATTTTGATACATAACAATAGCAAAATTATAATTTTGAAGTAGCAACAAAAATGATTTTATGAATGAAGGGGTCACAACAACATGATAAACTGTATTAAAATGTCACAGCATTAAGACAGCTGACAACCAATGATCCAGAGAGTGACATTTCACAGCCCTTCACCCAACATTTTGGCTCTTATTTTCCTCTGCATCTTCTATGATATTCTATTTTTTTGTTTTTGTTTTCAGTTCTAATTTCTTTTTTTTCCTTTTTTATTACTTAAAAAATACCAATCCAAATTCCCACTCCCTCCGCTCCTCCCAGTCTCCTCCCTCTTCCTCCACAGACCCTCCACCTCCAACACTAAGGGAGTGCCATGCACCCCACCCTGTGGAAAGTCCAAGGCCATCCCTACTATGTCTAAGTTGAACAAGGTTTATATCCAATGAGAATAGGATCCCATGAAGCCTGTATATGCAAGTAGAGATACATCCCAGTGTCACTAACAGTGGCCCCTCAGTCTGCCCCAGCTGTCCCCCTTCAGAGGGGTTTGGTTGTTCCCATGCAAGTTCACACCCAGTCCAGTTGGAGTTGGTGATCTACTGTTAGCTCAAGCAAACTGTCTCAGTGGATGACCCCTTCATGGTCTTGAATTCCTTGCTCACACTTTCACTCCCTCCACTCTTCAACTGGATCTTGAGAGTTCAGTTCAGTGCTCTGATGTGGTTCATTGCCTCTGTTCCCCATCTGTTGTTGAACGAAGGTTCTATGGTGATATTTAAGATAATCATCAGTCTGACTACAGGGTAAGGTCAGTTCAGACACCCTATCCTCTATTGCTTAGTGTCTCAGCTGGGTTTATCCCTGTGGGTTCTTGGGCATTTTTCTAGAGCCAGGTTTCTTGCTAACTCCATAATGACTCCCTCAATCAAGATATCTCTTTCCTTGCTCTCATATCTGTCCTTCCTTCTCTCGACCATCCCATTCCCTCAAATTCTCCTCAACCGCCCTTTTCCCCCCACCCTCCACCCCTGCTCCCAAATAGAGCCTTAGAAGTGGTGATAAAAATGCCTTGTTTTTACCTACAGCCCTCTTTTTTACTTTGTATTTTGGATACGGTTTGCCATATTGCCAAGGTTAGTCTTGAACTCATTTTGTAGCCTGGAGCTGCCTTGAATTTGTGGTTGTCTAGCCTTAGGCTCCAGTGTAGCTGAGATTACAGGCCTGTGGCACCATTTTGCTGTACTCTTCAGATTACATTTTTCTATTAATTTCTTACTTCTTCAAATGAGAATGCAATATTGTTATTGCCATTATTGTTATTTTGGTTCTTGTTATTGAATGAACTGCTTTTAATACCAAATAGTTACAATTTCAAGAATAACTTACTTTTAATTGAGGTTTTAATGTTAAAATGATTTATTATAGCAATTTCTGGAAAATTTTAAACTCTCATTTGAACCTGCTTAACATTCCCCCTATTTAAACTATTTTATTTGTTTTATATAGAGATCTTAAAAACCAAAACAAGTAATCTTTAGAAACAGTGTTGCAAAATGAAAATTTTTGATATTGTTTTTTCTTTATTTCTAAAAATTGGCTATCTGGAATTTTTCAGTCCTTTATATACCCAAAGCTACCTTTATCTTTAACTTGTGACCATTATATGTTTCAAAAAAATTTAAAATGATCTATACTTGGGGCTGGAGAGATGGCTCAGTGGTTAAGAGCATTGCCTGCTCTTCCAAAGGTCCTGAGTTCAATTCCCAGCAACCACATGGTGGCTCACAACCATCTGCAATGAGATCTGGTGCCCTCTTCTGGCCTGTAGGCATGCACACAGACAGAATATTGTATACATAATAAATAAATATTTAAAAAAATGATCTATACTTCAATATCACTTGTTAGCTGTTGTTATATTGAGTTGAGAATGAGGTTGTATTTTCCTAAATATTTCTTATTTTCTACGTTAGTATTTTAAATATAAAGGCTTAAAAATTTTTGCTCACATGGAATTAAAACTAACAATAGTTTCCATATCTAGATGTTGACAAAGAATAGTTCGCTTTACTTTTGGAATCACTGTGTCTGTTTCAGACTTGACAAAGAACAGTTACTTCAGGAGGAAGACGATGATGATTTGAAAGAAGTAACTGATTTGAGGAAGATAGCTGCTCAGTTATTGAAGCAAGAACAGAAGAACAGGTATTCTTTTTAGTAATAAGATTTGAACAGGCAAATATTATTATCAGTGAAAGATTATCAACTTAAGGAAATGAAGCTGCAAGTAACGAATAGGGATCTTTAAATATAGAAATATATGTAGCCAAGAGGTTGACTGCTGAAAGCCAGTGGGAAATACTTAGAAAAGAAATATGAGGTTGAATATATAACTAATAGAATGTTCACAATTTGGCTATATCTAATTTTATGGTATTGGTGATCAAACTCTGGGCTTCATCCATTCTAGACAAAGCTTCTGCTCTTGCACTGTACGCTAGCCTTAGTTAATGTACTTACAATTTTTATGTCTGTGATAAATTACAGTAATTGATTTGCTCGACTATATTCATTTTTAGCTCACAGTAGTAGCATTATTTGCAGTATAAGTACTTCTTTATGAGTATGTAGTATACTGGTAAAGTTTATTAGATTTTTATCAGATTACAAATTATTTGGGATATGCAGTTTCTCCAGAATTGATGTGAATTATATAATTGGTTCTTAAATCAGGTTGACAATTTTAGTATCCCTTTACAATTGGTTAATTCTTGGGTGAACAACTTTTCCCCTCTCTGGTTCAGCTTTTTCCAAGTGCATGTCTTTGTCAACAAGCAAGGCATTGCATGAGCATGAACATAGAATCTAGTTAAGTCCATTTAAACATTTTTTTGTGTGTAGTGTAAAAATGTGTTCACAGACATGTGTGCACCCATGGAGGTTAGAGGGACACATCAGGTATCTTCCTCAGTTGCTTTCCACATAGCATTTTGAGACACAGTCTCCCACTAAACCTAGAACTCACTGATTGACTAGAGTCGTTGATTGTTGAGTCTTGAGGAACCACCACCCTCACCAGGTTGGACTTACAGATGCATGCAGCCATCCCTGGATTGTTTACAGGTGCTGAAAATCTAAATACATAGCAGGCATTTTGCCTACTGAGCTCAAAGCCCATTTTTAGTAGATGAAATGGACCATGTGCTACTCTTACTGCTATCAATATTTACTGAGAATCTTGCATTTGTAGTTTTGAAATAGACTGAAGTTTTTGTTTCTTTTTCATGAGAAAATTAGTAGGATAATTTTGGTATATTTGGCATGAGTAATTAGTATTTCATTTTACTTATTCAAAATAAATATTTGTGGTTAACATGGTTACCATGTCTTGAGAAGATTTGATATTGGCATTTGTTTTAAAAATATCATTAAAACCTAGCATCTGGCAACTGGATTGATGGACGGTTCAGGGGTTAGGACCACATTTTGCTTTTCTAGAAGACTGGGTTTTTTTTTTTTCCAGGACCCAAGGTGGGTGGCTCCTGTAATTCTAGCTCCAGGGGATCCAACACCCTTTTCTGGCTTCCACATAACCCACAAATATGTGGCATACACTCACATATACACATATGTATTCTTTAAAAAATGCGTTGTATCTGGATATGGTGGTGCATGCCCATAATCCCGGATCTTAGGAGGCTGAGGGTCACAAGAAGGTAGTCAGTCTGGGCTATATAAAACTGTGTCTCATAATACAAAAACAACCCTGAAAAGTACTCACAAGCGAGTGCTGACTGCATAACTCAGTAATGGAACTCTTGCCCATCCTATATGGGGTCAGGGTTACATTTCCAATACCACAAAACAAACAAAATGCAGACAGTGCTGGTGAGATGACTCAGTGCATAAAGGTGCTTGCAGACAAGCCTGACAGCTTCGGTTTGATCCCTGGAACCCATGTGGTAGAAGAAGAGAACCAGCTTCCACAGGTTGTCTTCTGAATTTCACACGAAAGCTGAGGCATGCAAGTGTATAAACAGAGACATGCATGAAATAAATTCATAAATGAAACCAAAAGACAAAATAAGCAAACATATAAAATGAGGAGTATAGGATCTGCTTTTATGAAAAAAACTGGCAAATAGATAATATGATAAGTAACCATCTAATATTTACACAGGTACTACAATTTCTCTTAAAATTGTCACACTATCAAATAATCGCTTATCTGTCTATCATTTCTTTATCTGATGAATTCCCATTCTGTTTCCTTTTTTTCTCATATCACTTATTTATGTAAATGTTTCCTTGGTTTTTACAGTTTAATATTTTCTTATAATTCATTTCTACTATGCCATTTTATAATAACTTTTAATTTTTGAGGTTATATTGTGTTACATAATTTTTGCCTTCCTCTTACTCCCTCCATATTATCCCATATAACTCTCTACTTTACTCTGTTTCAAGTTCATGAACCTTTAAAAAATTGTTATATGTCTATATGTATACATAGGTATATGTGTTTTACATATGTATTATATATGTATATATGTAGCTACACACATACATTCCCATATGCATATACATAACCTACTCAGTCTATATAACTTGTATGTATGTTTTCAGGGCTGATCATTTGATATTGGATAATCAATTGGTGTGCTCCAATATGCCTTTTTCAAACTGGTTGCAGTAAGGTTATATGTAGCCTAAGTGTTCCTAACCTGTGTGGTTTGACTTAATGATGCATACTACCACCAGATCTTGGAAGTTAAAAATGCTTGAGTTTATGCTTCCTTTACTTAGTAAAGTTTTATTTATTTTTCACTATGAGAAGAGAATAGTGATATTTTTAAGATTCTACAATAATATCCATTTTCTGTTTGGGAGTTTAATTTTAAACTCAACCTTGCCATACAGTTTTTCCTTATTTTCATCTCTACTATTATTATATTCATTTTTATCTATCTATGTTTCTTAGATTATCCTTCATTGTTTAGGTTAAGGGTTATCTAAGTAGTTCATCTTTTGTGGGGTTTGCTTTGGCAATACCTTTATAACTAGTACAAAGCGAGACCTAGATTTGCTTTCTAACACAGAGGACCCAGTGTTTCACTATTGTTTGCTAATTGAGTTCTTGAAACTTGTCAAATTTTAACTTAATGGAAGTCATCAGTTCAGCTGAAATTTTTATATTCTACATAAAACTTCTTTTATTTTTCAAGATATATACAAAGCTAATTTTGTCTCCATCTGATTTTCTTCTTTTTTATCTTTTTACCTGTTACCAGATAATATAAGAACTATTTAGGTTAAGTATTTTTATGTACTGATGTGTCTAACTTTTGAAGGCATTAAGTATGTTTGAGGCACTCATTCTTTTATACTTCAGTATAAGAGAAATATTCAGCATTGTAGTCTTTACAAATATGGAATTCTTTGCCATAATGCTAAATGTAACTCTTACCTGCTAGTTAAATGAGAAACAAATTTGTTTTTTAAAAGTTCTATAGAGAATATGTAGAATCTACGTATCAGTTTTTAATACAATTATTATATTTTGGGATTTCTTTTGTTTATTGTTATTTTCATTTAAAAGTAATTTATGTAGTATGAGATTAACTCCAAGTACCAGAAAATGTCCTCCAAGACTCCTACCTTGACTGTATACTGTACTGTTCTATTACTTATTATTGTTTCAAAATGAACATATGTTTAGGTCTAGGCTAAAAGAAGCGATGGTTATACTCTCAAAGTAAGGTTGACTGGAACAATAATGATATTGAGTTCCATAATGATTTTGTTATGGCTGTTTTGCTGCTTGCTTAGTTTATACTAGTTAGTACAAATCGTTACTTTGTAACAGAAGTGTGTGCTTTTATTTGTTGAATGATACTGTCCTAAGAAAGTAACAGAAGTATCCAGAAGACAAGGTTATTGACCAAAAACAGTGGGGAAAGTGCTCAGTGAATAGAGTACTGTGTAGCTAGCCCACAAGGCTTCAGATTATGAAGACAAGTTGCCTATAAGGTAGCCATACTTTCTCTGATGTACAGGGTAGGCTTCTGTGAAGCTACTGCGGTGCTGTGTGTCTGTTGTCTAACTCCTTGGGAACAAAGACTAGTGCATTTCTTGAGCCCAGTGTTTGTGAAACATATCCTTCTGGAGAATGCAGCTGAAAGGATAAAACCCGGCACTCCCCAAGGAAGAATTTCAAATGAAAAGAATATGTTTTAAAATTAGTATCTTAAAATAATTTTATGAGATTAACAGATTGTAGATGTCTGCTTATAACATTGTGCTTATAGTTAACAATGCACTTCACATTTAAAAATGTTTTCAGGGGAGATCTCATGTTAATTTTTTTTTAATTTAAATTTTCTGGGCTGGAGAGAGGGCTCAGAGGTTAAGAGCATTGCCTGCTCTTCTAGAGGTCCTGAGTTCAATTCCCAGCAACCACATGGTGGCTCACAACCATCTGTATTGAGATCTGGTGCCCTCTTCTGGCCTGAGGGCATACATGGAGGCTTAACACTGTGTACATAATAAATAAACAAATCTTTAAAAAAAATAAATGAATAAATTTTCTATTATATTCCTAGGGTCAATCTCAGACCACATGCATACTAGATAATTAAACATTTTTGCCACAATTAAATTAAATTTAGAAAGTAGTATGCTTCTCTGAATTAGGAAGAGAATTGAAAAAGGGGCTGTGAATAAAATGTCAGTATTAGTATTTTGCATGTGAATGTGTGACTTATCGTAAAAAGAATATTTGTAATATTGACTTGGGAATAAAATGAAGGAAATTCTGATAAAAACACTTTAATGACACTCTATAACTACTGATCCATTTCCCTACATTTTAACCAGTCCTACTTATGTATGTTAGCAGTAGAAAAATGATTCTATACTTTGCCATATAGTGCTTTCATTGTCATGATAAGTGAGTCCTTAGCTAGCTTCTTAATATTTGGTTATTATCCTAAAGTAAAGATTATTTTATATGTGCACTTTACAACAGTTTCAGTTAACTGATTCTTATTGTATATTTCTCTGATAATGTATTCTATACTATTTTGATATGTCATACATCTTCATAAATGTTTTATTTGATTTTAGTTATGGCCTGAGAACTTTTTTTTATTGTGAATGAATGTACTTCTGAATACCTTGTGATGTAGCTAGACAACAAAAGAACAATTTTTAAAGGTTAAATAACTGAAGAAATTAAAAGGAGGTTTTGAGAAGATTATGGCATGAGTTTAGAATTATAAAATGCATTATGATATGTGTCTTTTGATTATTATCTGATTAATCAGCATTTCAGGTTAAGGAGCATTGTATTAACCTCTAGTTTGTTATAACTACTTCTATAGTTCTCTTAACTCTTGAAACCTAGCCATTCTTTCTTTTCTGTTTTCTTTACTAATGACTTCCTTGTCTTCTCCAAAAATATCTCCCTTCTCCCATCTTTTGATTTGGTTGATATATGTGAAATGTGAATATAGATGGAGGACTTTAAGTTATAGAACATCATTCAGTGACAAACTCTTCCAGAGGACCAGAGCAGCAGGCCGGAAATCAAGGTATCTAGAGTTGGTGGAAGCCATAAGTATTAAGGGGCCAGGATTATGTAACATTTTTCTTAAAATAAGTACTGGGAACTGTGTTAGGGAAGCATATTAATAATAGCAAATAGAAAATTAGATAAAATAGATGTTTACTTTTTCTTTATCACAGAGTAAAAAATGAAATATCAGGGTGTATTCCAGAGTGCTATATAGTTGAATTTTCAAATACATAATCCATATTTTTTATATGTAAGTTGGTTTCAACTATTTTTCTTTTTGCTACAGTATGATACATATATCATACTAGTAAGCGGTGTGGAACAGCATTATTTTATCATGATGAAGGTCATAATAGCTTGACCAGTTCCCTCTAACAATGATTCTGACTTTCTTTCCTAAGTAGTATTTATTGTTATTTCTCTATTTTTTTAAATCTTCTTTTTAAGTATATTTTCCTTTGATACTTCAATACCATAATTTTACATTTTTGGATCTAAAGAAATTTTATGTACATAGGAAAATATATTTAAATGTGCTTAATTCTGTGATTTTTGGCCCAGAAATACAGGTTTATGTCAATACTTGACCTTTTGACGTCATTGTATTTACTCAGTGAGGCTATGCTTAGAGTCAAGCTAGTAAGAAAGAGAGCCCGGCATCAACTGACTGCTCTATCTTCACCATAGAGCAGTAATTACCAGTGTGTATTTTTTTTTTTTGGTATTTCGAGACAGGGTTTCTCTGTGGTTTTGGAGCCTGTCCTGGAACTAGCTCTTGTAGACCAGGCTGGTCTCGAACTCACAGAGATCCGCCTGCCTCTGCCTCCCGAGTGCTGGGATTAAAGGCATGCGCCACCACCACCCAGAAACCAGTGTGTATTTAATTAATATTAAACTCACTAAATTATTTTTTATAGTTTTTAGATTGTTGATGTCTAAAGTATTCCTTAAAAAGTAGATATTTTATTCATTGTAGCACTATTTGTAGAATTAAGTTACATTTATATGTATATTAATAAGAATGTTATAATATGTACAATTACTTTTTTAATGAAAGACAGTTACTAATTTACCACATTTGATATTGAGGTTAATACTTCGTATTAGATAAAGCCTTAAACAAATAGTTTTCTTTTATAGGAAATTATTATATTTTTGTTTATTTTTGTTATAATACTCTTTCCTATTGAAGCTTTAAGAATTTTTTGATTTTTTTTAAAAAAGGAGTTGACCTTTAAAATTGATTTTTGCATTTACAATTAAAGTTTGCTATTTGGCTTCTGTTAAAGTGATTATGAAGTACCACATATCTCTTGTCATTTTCTGTCCTGGAAACAAGGAAATGACTCAAAATGATACCTAAAATATTTCATTATGTTCTGTGTAAATTAGAATTAGTTATACACAGAGTAATCATGCATTGGCTAGGAAATATCCAGACTTAATGAGTGGTTTCTAAAACAAGATGCAATACACCTTTTGTGAACATCATTCATAAATGATGTGCTGATGGGCACTTAAGTCCAAACGGGACTGAAATATTATTTTCTAGCAAGATCTTCATGACATAGATGCAGTTTATTTAGGACATAAGTGTGCAATGTTATCTTCAGTATAGCTTGTAATTAATGTGTTGATTTACTTCTAGGATTCTTAATCATTCAACTTCTGTCATGAGAAATAAGCTGAAACAAACTGTGGAATGTGAAAAGAGGTATAAACATATCATAGTCATTTTAATATTTGGTATCTTAAATGAGACTTGATATTCTTATAGCAATTTTCCTCAAACGATGTTATGTGGATATATGATGCAGATGTCATATAGGTAGATAATTTAAAGATCAAATATGTCAAAACTTGTGTCCAATTGGGTTTTCTATAAACAAACGCCCCGATTCTGATTCTTTTTGTTTATATTTGTGGTTTGTCTTGATTCATTCACAAATGTTTATCCAATTGATATAACCACCATTAATAATGTATTTCTTTATCACTGGTTATGTTTATTCTTTGTTATTGTTTGCATTTTAATTTCTTTTAATTGAGTTTTACTAAGCTGTTTGTTAAATAACATAGGTTTACAGATATGGATTTCAAACAACTAGATCTGAAAATTTCTATTTATTGTTCTTCTTGGTTTTACCCAAGTCCTGGGTATAAATTTTCAAAGATAGGAGTACAGAGGCACACACTGAAGGATAATTTATTGGATGCTGGGTATATGTGTACTCTTTTAACTCTGTAAATGATCTGTCTTATTCAGTCATCACAATAAAATTGTGAAGTTGTTACTTTTGCTATACTCATGTACACATGAGCAAACTGAAACTAAGAATTTTCATAACTAGCTAAGAATTTTCATAACTAGCTCACATTGTAAGTGGGAGAGTCATGATTCATACTTAGGTGTGTCTTATTGCAGAACCTGAAGACTTCATATATAGTAACAGTAAATTTACTTCAGATCCATGCATATCACTCGATATATTTCTGCAGAGTGTGCAGATTTGTGTCTCCAAACCTCTTTTCCTGTGTCATCTACCCTAGTGAATATGCAGGTACTATGTAGTCCCCTAAGCCAGCAACTTTGGAAACTTCTCACTCTTATGTCTTCCTCCTGCGACATGAATATCCCGTTAATCCTTTTTCCATCCTCTCCATTACTATTTTAGTTGTATTGCTTCAGCTCCCATTGTTTTCCATCTGAGTTTCTGTGACAGCCTCCACACATAACTCCTTTCTTTTCTGTATTATTAAAGAACAGAGGCTTTTAAAACTTAATCAGCCAATACAACCCCTATTTCTTATTTTCTAACCTTTTATGATAAAGGACAAAATGTTGAGATTAACCACAGAGTTGAAATGGGCTTCTACTTGTCTTCAATCTCAGCTCAGAGCCTCATCTTTGCACTCTATAGAGTAATAGCCTTTAAGTTTAGAAGCATAACTCTTTTATTTACTTCCGTTTGCTTCCCTATTTTTACATTCTATATCTTGGTCTCCTTTTCATAGTGCCCATGTTTCTTCCTTCCTTTGCATCGTCTCTTAGAAGTCAGTTCAATTCTGCATAGTTGTGTGAGAGCTTCATAGTAGACAGCAGCACTGTGTTGGGAACATGTATAGAAGAGGCCACACAGTAAGACAGGAAGAAGAAGGATTTAATAATCAAGTTCACTTTTAGGTTTTATATAATGCAACTTATTCTTATAGAAGCCACTGGAGCTCCTAGAAAACTACATTAATCTCTTCCAAAGCCAGGCTTTTTAATAACCATATTGTATTGTACTGAGCACTACTCCTATGGATTTCACCACTTCTTTACCACCACGCAGAGCTTCAAGCTATTTTTTAAATATATACCTTGTGGGAAACACACTGTATGGAAGTACATATGAGTATTTGCATTTGTTTATATATCTAGGTGTGTGCATCAGTATATACAACAGTGTTTATATATAGGAATGTGCACTGATACATACCACAGCGTTTATATACCAGTGTGCATAAATATATTACAATGTTTATATATAAGTTGTACATATATATTACACTGTTTATATGTATGTTGTGCATTGATATTTACCACAGTATGGTGGAATTTCTATTTTACTTTCCACTTAGATGCATAGTAGGAATGTCTGATTTCCAGACATCATACTTCTACTCAGTATTGTTGCACATTCAAGCATGATTTTTCTGGATTTTTCCCCATTTCAGAAAATGCTAACTCCATTCTTATTGTACAACACCTGAAAAAGTTTCATCCTTAGTTTGTCACTTTCTCTCAAACCCCATAGCTAACCCATTACCAAATCATGTTGACTAGTGAGACCTGATCACATCTTACCAACTCCACTTCTGTCAGTCTTGCTCTCTACACACCCAACTGTGCACAGGCATAAGGTGGCAAACATGGATTTCCCCCAAGAGTTTACGTGGGGAATACAGTTTTGCTTTATTGTACAGACACTAAAAATTTCTTTAGGTCAGATCAGCGTATACTCCTTTGTTCCTGAAAAAACTGACAGTATGTTTGTATAGAAATTGTCAAAGTGTTGATCGTCAGTAGAAGAGTAGAATGCTATCCCATTGTTCCGAGAGGGCTCTATGTGTAGTCTAATGCAGGTGGGGTTATAGACTATTATTAAGTGGTTTGTCCAGGGAGGTGTGTGTGCATAGTATGGTATGGGAAAGTGAAAGAGCTGGACTGATAAATATTAGAAGTGTTGTGCATGTTTCCACTCTCCCTCTCTCCTCTCTTTCTCCTCTCTTCTCTCTCCTCTCTCTCTCTCTCTCTCTCTCCCTCCCTCCCTCCCTTCCTCCCTCTCTCCCCCCTCTCTCTCCCTTTCCCCTCCCTCCTTGCCTCCCTCCCTCCATCTGTGTGTGTATGTGTGTGGCTGTGTGTGGTTATATGGTTGTGTGCATTACCAAACCATATAGAGTCCCAGGATGCTAGTCTATGTGCTAACTTGCTTCTTTATTATACTATCCTGTGGACTATGTATGCCACTTTTTCTCTTACTTCTAAATGTAGGAACCGTCTGGACTCTGCCTTGAATTTTTTCTCTCTGGTCTGTGACATGGAAATGCTCTCCATGTTGCAACATGGGACAAGCATGACATTCTTCTTTCATTATCCATTTCTATGATTCTTTATTTACATTTAAAATAAATTGATTTAATAGATTTCTGTATATTGATAAGAGGTTAGGATGCAGGCTTTTTGTCTTCCTTTTTACTCTTCCTTCTTTTACTTACCCATCCCTTTTTGCTGTTTCTTTCTTTTTGTATTTTATAAGTACTCATTATATTGTTTATATTTTACTTGCTACATAATCTCCAGTTTCTATGCATTTGTACCATAAGTTTTTGTACAAAAAAAATTGTACTCTATCTTCCACTGAAAAAAAATCTATAAATTCTGGAATTGTTGTTACTATATTTTCATGTTTGTACATTTTTAATTACTTCCCGAGGATAGGGATATTCCCTGTACTTATAAATTTTTATTATTTTCTCTCTTGTTATTCTTCCTTTTCTTGTTCCTCCTCTCCATCCTTTCTGTCTGTTTGAAACAAGTTCTTACTCTGTGGCCTGGGCTTACCTTTACCTTATCTATGGATACCAATCAGGACTCCAGCTCATGGTGATGGCTCCACCTTGTGAGTGCTAAGATGTCCAGTATGAGCCACGACACTCATCTTTACTCCCTCCTTCTTCCCCCTCTCTCATTTAATCTTTAAACTTTTTAGTGTGTTTCTGTTTGTGTATGTGTTTGTCTGTCTGTGTAAGTGTATGCCACATGTTTCTGTGTGTGAATGGTTGCCAGAAGAGGATGTTGGATCCCTTGGAGTTAGAAGAAGCATTGTCAATGTTGAACTCAGTCCTTTGTAGGCCCTCTTACATCACAACTGAAGTTTATGATCGTAATTCAACAGGAAATAATGTATTTGTCTTCTGAACTCTGGCATTTAGATGAAAGAAATTATGTGTTTGCTTATTTATTTGTTTGTTTGTTTATTATGTTTGTGCATGCATATGCATGTTACCATGGCACAGGTGTGGATATCAGAGGACAACTGTCAACAATTCAGGGGTTTGGTTTTTCCCTTCTACTATGTGAATCCCAGGGATCTAACTCAGATTGTCAGGCTTGTTGGCAAGCTAGTACCTTTACATGCTCACTCATCTCACTGATACCATTGTGATATTTGAAAGAAAGAGTAACTTGTTTTTTATAATATTATGTTTATTTTACTATATATTTATACATACGATATGCCTTTTGGCCTCTACAAAATAGGGTTGGGTTATGCATATGATGAATATAAAATAAACTCATTTTGTTATTTCTTGTGGTGCAATAGTTAGTAGGCACTCGCTATTGGTTGTTTTTTATCAACTTTAATTTATATAATATTAGTCAACCATGTGGTGGTTAATATCTGCCATTGCAGTTTTTGGGAGGCTGGCTATGGTAGTGAGTACCAGGCCATCCAGAACTACATAGCAAACCCAGTCTCAATAGAATACAACACAATATAACACAAAACAACACAACAAAATGAAACATATAGGTATGAATGTCTTTACATTGCTGTCTTAAAACAATGAAAAGACAAAATTGCCACTTTTAAAGTATGCAAAAGGATTAATATTATCTTAAGTAATATTAAAGCATCTCTAATGTTTTAGTGTCTCAGCAGATGAAGGGAATTCACCATTATCACCCCTTGCATGGCAGGTAAGAGCAAACAACATTAATAATACCTGTACTGTTTTGTTGTTGTCATTTGCTTAGTTTAAAAAAGAACTTTTGTCATTAAAGCCATTAGAAAATCAGAAGGACCAAATAGTTGAACAACAGTGGCCAGAATCTCAGCCTATAATCTGGCAAAACGAAGAAAGGAGACGGAGTAAGCAGATCAGAAAAGAATATTTCAAGGTACCTTAACAAATTTTTAATTTTGTTTTGTTTTTACTTTTATTCTTAAGTTTGTTTTAAATAAATGACATATAACTCTCCAGTTAAATTCAACGACTCTGTTCATGTTGATTGCCCTGGTGTATAGGATAATGATATGCTTTGTAAGTATAGTCACAAAATTTCAGTAGTTTAAATTAAGAGTACATCAATATACATCATAATTTTTCGAATGGTTCAAAGGAGGATGGATGTTTGTGTGTGTTACACCGCCGATTGAGGCAATTAATTCTGTGGGTCTTTTGGTTTTGAGGTAGGGTTTCACTATATAGCCCAGGTTAGCCTCAAATCCCTACCCCCTGTCTCTGTCTCCTATAAGCTAGGATTCCAGAAGTGAACAACCAGGACTGGTTTAGAAAAAGATTTTCATTGGATTTGTTTCAATAAATAGTTCAGAACTATTTTTAGTTAGTGTCTCACTATATAGGTCTGGCTGTCCTGTAACTCTCTATGTAGACCAGGCTGACCACCAACTCACAGAGATCTGCCCAACTCTAAGTTGTCCCTCACTACACATGATTCAGTAGACTTCTTAAAATGAAAGCTAAATTAAAATACTAGAGGTGGCGCATGCCTTTAATTACAACACCCGAGAGTTCGAGGCCAGCCTAGATTACAAGAGCTAGTTCCAGGACGGGCTCAAAAGGCACAAAGAAACCCTGTCTTGAAAAACCAAAACATAAATAAAAAATAAATAAATAATAAAATAATAGAGCTTGCAAATTATCATAACTTTCTATTACATAATTATTTATTTGTACTTCAAGTTTGTTACATTTGAAGGGGACTGTGATCAAAATTTAGAATAAATTTTAATCATCATTTACTCTTGGGATTGACTCAGATGAGTAGTACAAATCTTGTCCTCCACCATGAATAGCAAATTCTGTTGTCTCATACCTCCCACAAACCTCATCAGAAAATCATTTTCTCTAAATATGTAATACTCACCTAAGTTACACATTATTTCAAGTTTATGCCACTAATAAATAGAATTTATTTTTTACCTTTGTGTTTGGCAGTTTTTCTTTCAATCTGCATATTTCTCTATCCATATATTGGAAATCAATATGTGTTTGAAAGTGGCATATGGTCAAAATAAGAATGGTATATGCCTTAGCAAATATGTAATCACCTTAAACTTTGAATAAATGATTACTGATTATTTTTGGCCAGTGGATTTTGAGTTAATTCGGTAATAAGAAAAAACACATAGGAAGGAAAATGGCAGGGCATTCCAATGATCAGAACCCTTTGCAACTCTGCAGTTAGGTTTACATCTGGCCTTCATCTTAGTTTCCCTTTTTAAGTCATGAAAACATAAAGAAAAGTACTGATTGAAAATATTTTTAACTTGTTGGGCGAATTCTTGCCTTGACGTCGGCCCATCTCTTCTTCCAAATGCTCCCTATGGATCTTCTTTTACCGGATTAGGTCTCCTTGCCTACCAAACGCTGTCTCTCCCCAATGTTGGCTCTCCCAATGCTGGGTCTCCTGGCACCGAAAGATCAGGCCTCCGTGCTGGTTGGGCAGCTCGCAGACAAAGCGCCTACCCCGCTTGGTGCAGGCAGGCCACAGAAACAAAGGAACTGCTGCCCGCCCGGGAGCCCCGGATACTCGGACCCTGCGCCCAGATAGGCTGGGCTGGGCGATGCCACGCGCCTAAAGAGGGCAGTGGGGGCGAAGTTGGGAGGGCTCTGGACGGAAGCTGGGTGGGCCAGGAAGAAAGAGGCAGCACCCGGGGAGTAGAGGCCCTGCAGAGAGCCCAAGCAGGACAGGGGGCCAAGAAACCCCCGAGCTCCCCGTCCCAGGCTGGCGCCGTGGGCCAGAAACTCACCCCAATGCTGGGTCTCCTGGCGCCGAAAGATCAGGCCTCCGTGCTGGTTGGGCAGCTCGCAGACAACGCGCCTACCCCGCTTGGTGCAGGCAGGCCACAGAAACAAAGGAACTGCTGCCCCCCGGGAGCCCCGGCTACTCGGACTCAGAGCCCAGATAGGCTGGGCTGGGCGATGCCACGCGCTAAAAGAGGGCAGTGGGGGCGAAGTGGGGAGGGCTCTGGACGGAAGCTGGGTGGGCCAGGAAGAAAGAGGCAGCACCCAGGGAGTAGAGGCCCTGCAGAGAGCCCAAGCAGGACAGGGGGCCAAGAAACCCCCGAGCTCCCTGTCCCAGGCTGGCGCCGTGGGCCAGAAACTCACCCCAATGCTGGGTCTCCTGGCGCCGAAAGATCAGGCCTCCGTGCTGGTTGGGCAGCTCGCAGACAAAGCGCCTACCCCACTTGGTGCAGGCAGGCCACAGAAACAAAGGAACTGCTGCCCCCCGGGAGCCCCGGCTACTCGGACTCAGCGCCCAGATAGGCTGGGCTGGGCGATGCCACGCGCCAAAAGAGGGCAGTGGGGGCGAAGTGGGGAGGGCTCTGGACGGAAGCTGGGTGGGCCAGGAAGAAAGAGGCAGCACCCGGGGAGTAGGGGCCCTGCAGAGAGCCCAAGCAGGACAGGGGGCCAAGAAACCCCCGAGCTCCCCGTCCCAGGCTGGCGCCGTGGGCCAGAAACTCACCCCAATGCTGGGTCTCCTGGCGCCGAAAGATCAGGCCTCCGTGCTGGTTGGGCAGCCCGCAGACAAAGCGCCTACCCTGCTTGGTGCAGGCAGGCCACAGAAACAAAGGAACTGCTGCCCGCCCGGGAGCCCCGGGTACTCGGACCCAGCGCCCAGATAGGCTGCGCTGGGCGATGCTATGTGCCAAAAGAGGGCAGTGGGGGCAAAGTGGGGAGGGCTCTGGACGGAAGCTGGGTGGGCCAGGAAGAAAGAGGCAGCAGAGAGCCCAAGCAGGACAGGGGGCCAAGAAACCCCCGAGCTCCCCGTCCCAGGCTGGCGCCGTGGGCCAGAAACTCACCCCAATGCTGGGTCTCCTGGCGCCGAAAGATCAGGCCTCCTTGCTGGTTGGGCAGCTCGCAGACAAAGCGCCTACCGAAAGAATTCGCCCAACAAGCTGAAAAGCAACATGAAGCTACCAGAAACAAGCAACCTCACAACGGGAGGACAAGAACCCCTTAATCAAGAGGAAGGAGAAAAGATTGACTTCATGAAAGTGATTGATGCCCTTAAACAGCATGTAAAAAACGCCCTTAATGAAATGGATGAGAAATATAACAGAAAGTTTGAAGAATTGAATAAATCAGTGAATGATACCCTAGAAAACCAAGGAAAAACAATCAAACAGATAATGGAAACGGTGCAAGACTTGAAAACTGAAATGGAGGCAAGGAAGAAAACACAAACAGAGGGCCGGCTGGACATGGAAAATCTAGGTAAACGAATAGAGACTACAGAAACAAGCATAACCAGCAGAATACAAGAGATAGAAGAAAGACTCTCGGATTCTGAAGATACCATACAGAAAATAAACACACTGATCAAAGAAAACAGCAAGTCCAACAAACTCTCATCACAAAACATTCAGGAAATATGGGACACAATAAAAAGACCAAACCTAAGAATAATAGGAGTAGAAGAAGGAGAAGAAGGGCAGCTCAATGGTCCAGAAAATCTATTTAATAAAATTATAGAAGAAAACTTTCCCAACCTAAGGAAAGATTTTCCTATGAAGGTGCAAGAAGCATACAGAACACCGAATAGGCTGGATCAAAAAAAAAAACATCCCCTCGCCATATAATCATCAAAACACAAAGCATACAAAATAAGGAAAGAATATTAAGAGCTGCAAAGGAAAAAGGCCAAATTACTTATAAAGGTAAACCTATCAGACTTACACCTGACTTCTCCATGGAAACCATGAAAGCCAGAAGGTCCTGGTTAGATGTACTGCAGAAACTGAGAGACCATGGGTGCAAGCCCAGATTACTATACCCAGCCAAGCTTTCATTCACTATAAATGGAGAAAATAAAATTTTCCAGGATAAAAACAAATTTAAACAATACGCAGCCACAAATCCAGCCTTACAGAAAGTAATTGAAGGAAAATCACTAACCAAGGAGTCCAACAATGACCACAATACCTCAGACATCTAGAGACCCTTCACCAACACAAAACAAAGAAGGGAAACACACAAACTCTACGACTAAAAAAAAATGACCGGAGTTAACAACCACTGGTCATTAATATCACTTAATGTCAATGGACTCAACTCACCTATAAAAAGGCACAGGCTAAGAGATTGGATAAGAAAACAGGATCCAACATTCTGCTGTTTACAAGAAACACACCTCAACCACAAAGACAGGCACCTACTCAGAGTAAAGGGCTGGGAAAAGGCCTATCAAGCAAATGGTCCTAAGAAACAGGCAGGTGTGGCCATACTAATCTCTAACAAAGTTGACTTTAAACTTAAATCAATCAGAAGAGATGGAGAGGGGCATTTTATACTCATAACAGGAACAGTTCATCAGGATGAAGTCTCAATCCTGAACATCTATGCCCCTAATATAAAAGCACCCACGTACATAAAAGAAACATTGCTAAAAGTCAAGGCAGCCATCAAACCGCACACACTAATAGTAGGAGACTTCAACACTCCTCTCTCACCAATGGACAGGTCAATCAGACAGGAACCTAACAGAGAAATAAGAGAATTAGTGGAGGTAATGAATCAAATGGACTTAACAGACATCTATAGAACATTCCATCCAAATAGGAAAGAATATACCTTCTTCTCTGCAGCTCATGGAACCTTCTCGAAAATCGACCACATAGTCGGTAACAAAGCAAACATCCACAGTTACAAAAAAATATTAGTAACCACCTGCGTCTTATCAGATCACCATGGATTAAAGTTAGAATTCAACAATAATGCTACCCCCAGAAAGCATACAAAGTCATGGAAACTGAACAGTCAACTATTGAACCATAGCTGGATTAAGGAAGAAATAAAGAAAGAAATTAAAGTCTTCCTGGAATTCAATGAAAATAAAGAAACAACATACTCAAACTTATGGGACACTATGAA